TCATGAAGGGAAACAAGCTTGGGAGACAAGGCGGCATCGGCAGCCAAAAGCGAAATCATGAAGGGAGACAAGCTTGGGAGACAAGGCGGCAGCGGCAGCCAAAAGCGAAATCATGAAGGGAGACAAGCTTCGGAGACAAGGCGGCAGCGGCAAAGCGAAATCATGAAGGGAGACAAGCTTGGGAAACAAGGCGGCAGCGACAGCGGCAGCCAACTTCCGCAATGAGGAACCCATCCATTGAGAAGTAAGAACCCCTATAGCTTCGCTATCTGGGGAATAAACAAATCCCCGAAGAACTTGTTTGGCACACCTTCATTTGCTCACCACCCCTCAACCAACAGCTTTGAGGGGCTGTCTCTACACAGCTTAGGTATGATCCACTGCCCAGATTTGGGCTGTCCAGACAGCTGATGCTGGTTCCTTGGCGCAGGTTTCGCAGCACTCCTTGGCGCGCTTTTTGTGATGCTCTTTTCGCCCATGACGCCCCCCGCCGTTTCACCGCCTTGTTCGTAAGTAAGTCCGGAAGATGTCTTTCCAAATATCGGGGCACTCTTTCAAAGAGTGCAGGTTCTGGCTTCACTCCGCAAAGAAGGGTTCATTCTGCACCGAGGAACCCCAGGCACATCAATTTTTGTTGTTCTCGTGTGGTTTGTCCATAGGACCAATGTGCGTGAGTGGGGATGCACTGCCCCCAGGACATTTCGAGAGGAAGAGTCGAGAGGACATCTCACGAGGCTCCAACTATTGGCAGGTGCAGGTCCTCAGCTTAGTCGGCAGATCTTCAGGTCCTCAGCTTCTTGGTGATCATGGTCTTTTTCTACCTCGCACCCAGGCTCCTCGGGAACGGGCGTCTGGCTCCGTAGGTCTTGGTTCGTTCGTTGCGGCGCCCGTTCGTCCGTACTGGTGCTGAGGACCTCAGATGACATGCTGTTCCAAAACATGTAATTAGCCTACAACTTACAAACTCATGAGGCGTTTACGCAGAAGGACTCCCGGCAGAGTCACCTCGGCGATATCGCATCGCGACGGCGCAAATAGACTTATAATGCTGGTGTCACTTTCAGAAGCATCCATACTAAAAAACAGCAGCCCCATGCAGCCCCCAAGAAATTCAGAAATATATACATGGAAAAGCCTGCACGCTTATTGTTGTGTTGTGTGTTGCTTTGTGTTGCTTTTTTGTTTGGTGCTTGGGCCTTGGTGAAACGCCAAGTGGACCCGCGTGTTCTTCTTCAGCGAAAGGGACACATGAAAGTGGCATATCCACAATCGAGTTTATTGTGTTGCTGCAGATGTTGGCTCCAAATGTTCATCAACAATCACATTACCGATGGTTGTGTGGCGGAAAGGAGTGTTTGTCGCAGACCTCCAGAGAGCAGCCAATGTGCTGGCCAAGTTTGTGGGCAGAAGATGAACTACAGCGAATTTGAACATTGTTGGCGAGCAACAAAACCAAATTCCCACCCACTGTGCCTATTATGACACCTTCAGCAACACCAGTTTCAAAACATGAACAAGTTGAATCCTCAGCCTGGTTCCTTTTCTTTGCCACCCTGTGTGGGTGATGGGCAACTGGTGGATCTTTCATGACCTCTTCTGACGTGCCCTATGAAGACTTGCAGGAGTACTTCCCGGAGCTCGAAAATCCAGCCTATGAAGAAACGCTTCGAACCTTTTTCACAGATGTCTCCTTGGATGGCGCGTACTGCTTGCTGAAAGAGCCGGAAGACACCTTGCCTACGAGTAAAGACTCATACACCAAGCGCCTTCAAAGTTCAGCAAAATTCATCAACGAACTGCTTAGTGCGTTTGGAATCTCGGCAGTTTGTACGATTTGCCCTCGACAGGGCCGTGCTGGCTATGTTCATCACGTTTGCGGTGCGAACCACTTCAAGTTGCTACAAGAGAAATTGACCACGGACAAGAAGACATATGGCTCTGAACTTGGGGAGATTCGGAAACAGTACTGGCAGTCTTGGACTTTTGTCTTGGGAAAAGTGGACATCAACTACCTTACTGGTGAGTTGAAAGTCAAGCGAAAGAAATGCTTTCTTGGGCTCCAAGTTCAACGAGCAGAGCAGCTTCCAACCACAGGCCGGGTCGGGCCTAAATCCCACTCAAGCCACCGAGGGCATAGGATTCGGATACTGTTAGGGGGCTTTAAATTTCAATGCGTAAGTTTGGATGATGTTTGGATTATGTTATTTTAGAAGCCTACTCAGCCCGATTCAATTTGCAACCTTTCAGGAGAGTGGCACTGTGTCGGTACTCAAGTTGCTTGCCCACTGAACGATGACGGCCGCTGGCCACATTGGACTGACAAATATCCTACGACAAATGGGGGGAGACCACATTGGAAGACCATGATGAGCAAACCAGCAAAAAGGTTGCTGGAACTTCTTGACAACCACGGTATACAGGAGCATTGCTGTCCCATTTGTCCCAACCAGCATGGCTTATGGGTGAATCCAATGTGCGGCCCGAGCCATTATTCCAACTTGTACAACAGCGAAAATCCGGACCGTCTGCGCTGGCAAAGCTGGGACTTGCCTGGTAAAAGTGGCAGCATCGTTGGCAGGTGGGGACTGGATGGGGCCATTGACGGAATCATTTCTCCTATTTTCTTTTTTTCTCCTCTCTCTTTGTCAGAATCTAAATGGTGAATGTTCAAGGTCTTGGCCGAATGTTCAAGCTAGCACAGAAGGGTTTCGATTTCATGCAAAGAGCACATCCCGTTGTCCTCTCGTTCGCAGGTTGATGTTCGACCACTTGACCGGCCTCATGATGATGACCCGGAGTCCTAACATGGACTACCGTGTGGCTTCAACCTCTGAAGTTTTTGTTCGCTTTCAAGTAACTCCATGTTTCGGCAGCACCACCATGTTTGGGCAGCCATGCCAAAGCGTGATAGGCCGATTCACGGACCCTGAAGGGGCCGAAGGCTTGGGTGGGCAAACAGTTGTTCCGGGCTCTCCTGAGTCATTCTTTCCAGGCCATGGATACTCTTTTCAGAGCAGACCAGGAGAGGAGACGACAGACAGGCTAGCCGAATTGATTAGCAAGTTTCAGAGAGGCAGACCAAGAACGTTGTACGAGGAGTATATCAATCCGGAAAACGAACAAAAATGGTGGTACGATTTGGTGACAGGCGAGGCAACTATGTCTCGCCCTTCAGGTGCTGTCATTTTAAGGGATGAGTCGGCTTCGGTTGAATGGAAAAAAGTGCTGCTATGCTATGAGCTGGGGAAGGTGGGCTATGTTGGTTTTTGTTTCTTTTTGAAGCGCAGCACAGCACAGGGCAGTCTTGGAAGTTATGAACTAACCCGAATCACTTAATCAGGGGCCCTCAAAGTTGCCTAGAACCCATCTGACCAGTTTTGATAGGAACTCGGACCTTTGGTGGTCTATATTCTTAAGGCTCCCTCAGGTTGTTGGAGCTCACCTGACCGGTTTCACCGACCCAAAGACGCCGAACGAAGACGTGGACGACGTGCGTCGTCGCGGCTCCACAGGGAGATTGATGCAGAGAGCTCCTTTCTCTCTCCGCACTTCCATTGGCGCGGAACGCCTGGGGGTGGAACGGAACTTTCCGAAGATGGAAGTTGGGGGGAGGGGCCTGGGGGCCTTCGCAACCGTGCCGAATGTGTGCAGGATGCGGGAGGTTGGCAAAGAATCGAAGGGGGGGCGGCAGAGGGGTGAAGGAGTTGATTTCGCTCAGTTGGTTGAAAAAGGCAAGTGGGAGATTTGGCTCAAAGAACCAAAAGGGGTCCCCTGGCGAGAGGTCGATGAGCGTCCATGGTCATCAGTGTCAGTGTATGTTTTTTTTTTGTCTATTTCATCCAAGGGGAGTCCTTGTTTCGTTGCGCATGTTTCTTTTCCCCCAATCGAAGCAACCTCTCACCTACCTCGCATGTCCACATGACAGCATATTTGGGAAATCCACCCACGGATTCTCAAGAGAGGGTCTTGTTGATGTTGGAAGACCTTTGACATAAAGCAAATAAGATGGTGATTTCTCCTAATATAACAATAACCATCATGAAGATATATTGTATAGATGGTCAGAATATTAAAGAAGAGGCGTAAAAGACATGTAGATTCTCATGCGGAGTGGGGTGACCTTGCGGCACCTCGCCGTGGCGCTGCACTTTTGGCGCTCAGGGTGCGCTTGGGCCTGTCGAGAGGACCGAAGCAGCCTGGTAAAAGCATCGGGGAGAGCGGGGGAAGCAGCGCCGAGCTAGAGAGGTCCAAGCTCTCCCCCCCCCCAAACGGGGTGGGCTTCTATTTTGTAGCTACAGTTTGAAAGTCCCAACCATCTCTCATGTTGGTCATCTCTCCCTCTCTCTCTATCTCTCTCCCCATGCGATGGGCTCAAGACCTTCCAAGTCGAGACCTCTTCGGCGGATGGTCGGACGCGGTGCAACGGGTAGCCCAGTCGATCCCTAAGGCACCTGGAAGTCACCCGCCTGCTGCTCACTCTGGTGGCGCTTGGGGCAGAATCGATGGGTCGGATTCCGGATGGGGCGGCGCTCGGTTTCAGCAGCAGTTCCAAAGGAGTGCTTCATGGAGGATACGGGGGGCTCATGATCCACTAGAGGGGGCTCATGATCCACACTCACTTCTGGTAAAACCACCCTGCTCTATATAGAGCCCGCCTGGTCCCTTTTTAGGACGATCTTTGTCCCGAACGGACGCTAGAATCACTTCGTGTGAGGAGATCGATCCCAATCCATTGACCCGTGGAGTACAAAGCTCTGAGCTGTGAAGAACGGTCTGTCCATTGGAGACGTGGCTCTCGGCTGCCAGGATGTCATCATGACGCCTACTTCTTCTCTGGCCGACTCCGGCCTCTACATCCGCATCGATCCACCACTGCACCACTCTACAAGGATCAAGGATCTTCCATTTTCCAAAAACGGACACCCCTCAAAAAGGCGAGCTCCCAACCGCCCTTCCTTGAAACCGGACCTTGGCACCGGGACTGGGCACTTCTGCCGCAACCGCACGTCGTGCGCACGTCGAGGTGCTCTACATCCATGTCATCGACCATGGCCCCTGGCTGCCGGTTCCCCACCGAAGCTTTGGAGCGTCGTTGATGCTCTTCCGCAGTGGCTTGGGGCCGAACAGTGGGCGAAAAGAGGGCGGGGGCGGTTGGTTGGAGATGGTTGGTGCTGCCCGAATGGAGCCGGAACGCTGGAAGTGCTTGAAGCTGGCCTTTTGGTCGAATTCTTGTCCTTTCTGCTTCCGTTTTGACAAGAGTATCTCTGATACCTGGGAGGAGGTACTGCAACTGCAGCTGGGGAGGTGATGGAGTGGGTGAGGTGCTGCTGCAGGTGCTGCACCGGAGGTCAGGGAGTGAAGGTTGAGCAAAGACCACCACAGTCATGGTTGAAGTACAAGGCGTTTATCATCCACCTCATGTTGATGTTGATCCACCTCATGTTGGTGGGGTTATTCGAAGAATCTGTTGGGGGGGTAGGCAATGGGTGGACCGGCCACTCGACTCGACTCCAATTTAAGCGCGCGCGTTCGCCGCCTTACGCGCGGCGTAAGCGGCGGCGTAAGGTGCGGCGTAAGGTCCTTGCAGCATGACGATTCATGTAACCACTGTCACCACCGCACCTCATACGCAGGCCAATCCAACGCTGGCCATTTGGGAAGAGATCCTATAGGGCTATGTAGTGACTACAGTGACTGCCGGTCGCGTGACTCTTCCGGTTGGTTTGTTGCCTCCGGCCGGGTGAGGCTGCCTTAGCCGGGTGAACATTGGCTTCGTGGTCTTGATGGTTCATCTGAGCATCAGTCGCCGCTCCCTGAAGCAGGCGACGATCGACCGCGCCGCCCGTCGATCGCCAGTGACCGCCCAGGCGGAGAGCGGAGAGCGGAGCAGCGTTGCCTTTTCCCCCTTTGGAGAGCGCAAGCGCTCCCCCCCCCATACGAAGCATCAGCGAATCAGCATGAGAAATGGATGTTGATCTTTTGGGTCTTTAAAAGAACAGTTTGTTGTCATCATCAAATAGAGTCTCAAAGAGCAAGCAGGGTCATATTATTTTGTGCCAAGGTCTCAAGTGTTTCTACGCTGCGATCAATCCATGGGTGGTTTCGCTCCAGTGGCAAACTCAACTCCCCAGGCGCCCTCTGCTTGGTCTTGGATGAAGGGCGTGGCCTATCATGCCTTAAAGAGACGCTGGGCCTGGCACAATGTACAATCAGATCTATCAATCTCCAAGGCATTGACCAGATGGACCTACAGTGTAGGTGGTTCGCATTCAGGGCCCCAGGGCATCGTTCACTCAGGCTTTCGGGGCCAGTGGATAGCTCTGCATCTGGTTCATCAGTCAAGTACATCCAGATTCTCAAATCTCAGGACCATCGAGGACCTAAGGCTAAGGATCCAAAGTGTGGTTCCTCCTTCAAGGTGTTCCGTTATTTTTATTGGTATTATTACTATTATTGTTATTATTGGGTCGCGGAGTAAAACACGAGGACGTCACATGAGGGACTGCCGGCTGAGAGCCGCCAACTGACCCTGGAGGACTCTGGAAAATTGACCTGGAAGTGGAAAGGAAAGCACGGATCCTTCTTTCCTCTACAGAACGAACACGTGGTAAACTTTGGAAGTTTAGCAGGTATTTCCACACCTCTTTTCAGAGTAGAGTGGAAACGCCTCGACACCATCCGTGGCCTTTCACCCTAACCTCCATCCCTTGGTAAGCTCCATCTGCCGCTTCCAAGGATGGTTCGTGATCAGCCCAGTGGTGACCTTTTGGACCTTCGCCCCTTGGTCCATGCGAATGCGCTCGGCCTCATGCCGGTGCGACATCTGCGCAGACCGAAGCGAAGCGAAAAGCAGAAGGACGGCCGTTGGTTTTTTTTGGTTCCAAGAAGTGTGATGGTATATAGCATGAAAGGACTGTTTGGGCCTGGTTCTGTGGTTTCCAATGGGGTGTGTAAAGATATCCTTGAGGCTTGACGGATCATGCAAGCATCGCTGCTTGCAGGTGCCCAGTTCCTAAAGTTCACTATACTAAACTGGTCATGGCACGTTTGGGCGATTGCTCATATACTGTCAGGAAAAGATTTAACACATCTTGAAGTTTGGAAACACCATCAAACGCCACCATCCTGGTGAGTTGACCATGTTCCGGCACTTCGTGAGAAGTGTGCCCAAACTCTCCGACCTGCGAAGTGGTGCCTCACCGACCCAGCAAGACGACCTGCGTCCGCCCAAATACGCCAGTCGACCTGTTCAAACTTCCGAGACGCTGCGACCTGTCTCTGGTGACCTCAGGTCTTTATCCACGCACCCTTCGACGGAGTGCCGATGAACAACATCTTGAAGTCCAATCCGTCACTTCGCGGCAGTGGTGGCCTAGAGCCCCCTATATATACCACTGTGGTATACGTGCAGGTGCAGGAGACGGGTTTTTGAGCCAAGCAACAGTTGCTTGAGACGAGATCCGATCCTGAGCACCTTGCAGGCCTTGGAGGCCTTCCAGGTGTTCCTTTGTGGTTCGCGATTTGGCCAACACCGACACTCTTGGAGTTATATATTTCTCTTGAAGCAGGGAGTCAATGGCTGCACCCATGCGAGGGAACTGCGTCAAAACAACTCAAGCAGCAAAAAGCTAGTGACTTTGAAGGTTGAATTTTTCTTGCCCCCCCAAAAGAAAACCTATATATATATATATACAACCGGTATATAAACAAATAAAGAAGGGCTTCAAGATCTTGGAATACCGAAGAGGTAGGTCTTCCCATGATTCCAATCCTCCAGCCATTCCACTACAGAAGGCCCTGGGCCACCCTGTGTTTCAATATCCATTGACACAATCGGACGACGGTACGTCCCACGAAATCCTCCGCCGTCTCATCTGCCACGAAATCCGAGGCTCTACCTTTGGTATGGGGAACGGAGAGATCACTGCGTTCGGGCCTCCCAGATGGTCGAACCACGACGTGCCGGATCTGTACGGGATCTGTGGAGAATTCGTGGACCGGCAGGTTTTCTGGCGCATTCGGCTGGAACCGGGGCAGCGGGGTCGCTGGTACATCAAGGGTCTACATTGTATGGAATATTGTTGGACGGGGTGGCTGAAATGGCCTTCATCTCTGATCCACCGAATGTGCGGCAAAGCCCTTTCGGAATTCTGTCGCCGCATATGGAAATTGACAAAGACTATTAAGATTATCATCTTAATATGAACAATAGCAATTACAATAGCAATAGGTTGATCCAAGTAACATATCACATGTTTTTTTTTTCTAATATATAAAAGACATTAAAAGGACCTGGTTGGGGTTGGTTCTCGCGGAGCGAGCTGAGGATGACACCATGAGCTTTGTGAGCAGCATCCTGCTGATCCATGCACCAGTCATGGGTTTGCAGGGGCACCCAGCCAGTGGGGGGGGGGAACGTCTATAGGGATGCCATTCCGAAAAACTGGGTGCTGGGGGCTCGACTCATTTCTGCAGGACATTTCCGTTCTAGCATCCCTTTGCTTCGAAATCTTTGAGAGTTGAAGACAGCCAACGCACGTGCCACGCATGTTGGGTGGCTCGGCGCCTCGGCTTGATGTGGCTAGACCTGGGCCGAGCGTGGGGGGCGAGCCAAAAGCGCACGCGACGCGACCAGCGTCGCGTGCGGGGGTGGTCCTTTGAGGCGCTCTCCCTGCCATAATACGGACATCTTCGAAAGTGGGCAGCTGAGTTTTTTACTCTATATGTCTTTTCCTTGCTTGTTGATGCTTCTTGCACAAGACACTCAGCACGAAAAGAGCCTTCACCTGCCTCGAAAGTGGCAGAAAGAGGTTAAGATCTACCCTCGGTTTCCGTGCACTCTTCTGTTGTTGTCCGTGTATGGTACGAGTTTTGGATCTCTTTTTTCGTTCCCGCAGCTGTTAAGCCGTCACGCAGGAAAGGTCTGTTCGGGCACCCACACATTCAAACGAAAGGTGTATCTCAAGTCGCGAGAGCCATAGAAGCCACGAAATACAGGAAGTGGAACCAGGAAGATCCAATCACGTTGGCATTGGCGAAATACATGTTCTGATCCCATCAATTTGATGAGCATGACGTGCATGTGGCAAAGCTTGAGTAATTCACAACACCTCCAAGAAAAGGCATTCAGGCCTCGAGCCTTTTTGGAGATTTAGTACGTTTAGATGTCAATCTCCAGAATCTATCGAGTTTCTTCCTGACCATTGGGGAGGACTGAGGACTTACCACGTTTTTCACCATGTTCCTTTGAAGTAGAATGCTGTGCCCGATGTAAGACGCCCGTGCCATGTGGTTCCGGACGCTGCTGCTGTCCTGGCTCGTGCGAGCGAGGGCAGCCGGATGGGACGATGGCTGGCAATCCATGGACGGGATAGTGGAGATTGGGGGCTTCCTACATCTTCCTACTAAAGCACCGAACACCGCGACCGGACCCGGCCTCTGCAGGAGCCCTCGGTGGGCACGGACGACACGGCGGCGCTGCGGCGGAAGCTCGACCAGGCGCCGCGCGGAGGGCGTGGGAGGAGGAGGCGCTTGCGAAGTGGCCTGCGTTTGAAGGGGCTTTTGGCAGCAGAATCTTTTGACACTTGCTCTTGCGACATTCATTGTTTTTTTTTTTGGGGGGGAGTTGTGCGCCCTTCAGTTCATTGAATTTCGCCGTCCAAGAGCAGTAGTCCACATCCCAAGTCCATGAGCAGATTGGGTTTGGGCACTCGCCAAGGTGAATTACGTAAGGTACAAAACTGTGCGAAATGGGGTCTCTACAGCTCAAGCGAAATGGTAGAGCTCGAAATTGAGCGAGGAAGCTTCCATGGAATCCCGTACTGACAAACATGTCTTGGAGCTTCCAGCTCTTTAGCCTATGGATGCGCTCTTGATCTTTTTATGGGATGGAGGGCTAGCGATGAGGGGTAGCATATCATCAATCGAACGGTTGATTCACCAAGTTCCGCAGCATCATCTTCCATCACCTCTGACCTCTGGATTTTTGATGATTTTTGTCTGTTGCGGTTTCCCTTACTGCAAGCTTGATCCTCCATCACTGTCCATCACCCCAATTCGCTTCCTCTCCTTCGTTTTCACTTGATGGGTCACACCGGGATTCACCGGGTCGCGCTTTTCGCGCTCGCTTTCAAGGCGCGCCGGGAGCTGGCCGCTTGCCGCGGTGAGACATACGTGCCGAAAGCAACTTCAGGAGCGAAGGAAGATGTCAAGCTCAGGCGGGGGTGACCAAGAAGATGCACTCACTTGGATGATCAGGATCATCTCATACTCTGAGATGGAGGAACCGTAGCCAGTACGTTCTGGATGGGTTGTGGGCTAGAGGAAGTTAGATCAAAAGATCTGAGCCGCTGGAGAAAAGAATCATCACAGAAAACGTGCACCTACTTTTCATCACCGGAGGGAGTCATACACTTTCTAGCATCCCATGGGTCCTCCTGCTCTGTGCGTGCTCCACGCGCGGGCACGCTGAGGCCTTGGACCTGGCCCAGCCTCCACTTGAATGCCTCGACCTGGTCACTTCTAGTCGATGCAGCACTGGTGGCCGCGCTCGCCGCAGGTCTGGCCGGGCTGGGGCGCCCTAGACTAGACGATCAGCGGTGCTGGGTCCCGGGGTTTGGGGTTCGGGGGAGGGGGTCCTTTCCCATTTGTCAGGCTTGGGTGATGGAGGCCACCTGTTGGAGACTGTGTGCTTCAATCACAACAGTGGAAGCGAGGTTCGGTGGAAGCTTCAGACGGCATGTTGTCTTGGTCGGCACATTGGCATTTCTTCTCGCAGCATCACTCAAACAGTCGTTTCTGGCACACACTTGAGAAGGTTGCTCCGTGGAGCGCGATTTCAGGCTGCTTCGCGGTGTGCATTAGCCCTTTAGAGTTACTGCAGATTAGACCTTGACTGAAAAGAAAGTACTGGGTCGGTCGAACAGAATTGTTGAAACATCGAATGAATGAAGATTAAAAATTGAATTGTGCAGGTACGCTGGGATGATCAGTCCCAGTATCACCAAGGCTTAGAGAGCGTCTTCGTTGGTGGTAGACTCTCTGCCTTGCTACCACCCCCTGCTACTGTACAAGGTCTGAAAAGTCATAGGAATAGAAATAGCTAGAGAAGTGTCCTTGGAAACAGGAGTGGACACACACAATGAGCCGAGCACGGCGCAACTAGAAAGGTAACTCTGCTGGCGGATCGTCTTTTCCTCGAAGCGACACCTGAGCAAGTGGATCAAATTTGTTTCTCCGTGGTCGTAGCGCCGCGGCGCAGTGTTCTTTTGCTTTTTCTTTTTCTTCGTCTTCTTCTTCTTCTTTTTCTTTTTCTCTCTCCTGTTTCCTGCCAGGGGGGTGAAGGGGTGTTCGGGCGTGCATTGACTAAACGCGCCTGGATGCCACCTAACCAGCCTGAAGCAAAGAACAAGACAAACGAAAAAGGCAAGGAAAGAAGAGAAAGGTGCAGGGGGTGCGGGGGGGCGGGCAGGGCGTGCGTTGACTAAACGAGCCTGGATAATAACTAAAAAGCCTGAAGGAAGGAACAAACGAAAAGGCAAAGAAAAGAAAAACAAGAAAAGGTGCAGGGGGTGAAGGGTGGGGTAAATGCTCTCATGAGCGAAGTGAAGCCGAATCGGCGCAGTGAAAAATTAAAAGTTGGAAAAGACTTCTCCGGTGTGAAACTGATTCAGTTGAACTCTGCAGTATATTTCAGTGGAAAATTCAGTGAACTCTGCAGTAACATTTCACGTGTGCCAGGTGAGACATTCCAATCAAGCTGATTTCAAACAGGAAAATTCAGTCGAGTAAACTTCAGAAAGTCTTCAGGAAGACTTACTCCTGCGGTGAGGAGTGAAAAGGTTCTTGCAGTAACGGCGCCCCGTAGGGATCACACAGCTTACCACAGTGGGAAGAAGCTGCGAAGACACACTTGAGAAGGTTGCTCCGTGGAGCGCGATTTCAGGCTGCTTCGCGGTGTGCATTAGCCCCTTAGAGTTACTGCAGATTATACCTTGACTGAAAAGAAAGTGCTGGGTCGGTCGAACAGAATTGTTGAAACATCGAATGAATGAAGATTAAAAATTGAATTGTGCAGGTACGCTGGGATGATCAGTCCCAGTATCACCAAGGCTTAGAGAGCGTCTTCGTTGGTGGTAGACTCTCTGCCTTGCTACCACCCCCTGCTACTGTACAAGGTCTGAAAAGTCATAGGAATAGAAATAGCTAGAGTAGTGTCCTTGGAAACAGGAGTGGACACACACACACACCTACTATCATCTACAATCACCTACACCTGTCGGAACTACAACCAGCAGCAGCTTTGAATCACATCAGGTTTCCCTTCACAGCCCTTCCCCAAGGCTTCGAAGAAGGTTTCAGTTGGGGTGATTGGATGGGGTCGACTGCAGTGAGTCACTCGAGTCATTCTGCAAGCGTCGTTTGGATCTTTTGGATCGCTATTCATCCACAAGAAGTGTCCAAAAAAGGATCCATTTTAATGTATATCTATTTGACAAATTGTTATCATATGTGTATTGTCAATTTATATCCATTTGACCATTGTTTTGATAGGAAGAGATCCTGTTTTGGCTCCCAAACAGGGGTCTTATTGAGGCTCGATAGAATAGGATAAGATATAATGGGTGATTTTGTACGAACTTTTTGGAGGGATCCACTCCTTGCTGTTGACCAAAACGCCCTGAGATGTTAGTTTTTGCCAGTGTCGAATTGGCCGTATGTTCTCCGTGCCAAGGCTTTTCTTCTATCTCCCCAGCCCGGCAGGCTCGTGATGTTGGAGCCTTCCCCATACCGCCATGGGCTTTCTAGGTTCTTGATTAAAGAAATCGTTCGTGTCCACCGACCGGACAAGGGCATCGCTACGAACGGAGCAAGAAGCTTCCTTGGGAATCGTTTCACTGGGAATCGTTTCACCTGTAGTAGCAAGAAGCTACTAGTAGGTCTTTGAGGCTCTCTACTAACTAGAAGCTACTAGGTGGAGGCCATTATAGGTCTTTGCAGCTACTAGTGTCCACCTAGGAGAAGACTCCAAAGACGGCACACAGTATAGATCAACTTCATGAGTTCCTTCTTGCCAACCGACACCTGAAGGGTGCCCCTTTTTTCAGAAAGCCGAACGCCCCCCGCACCAGGAAGCTGGTCTTTCCTCGATGGTGCGTTCCTTCCGCGCCCGAAGGCCTCTCTCCTCGAGGACGCCTGCGTGACTTGCGGCTGCCCCTCACGGAGGCGGGTGCGGATCGTTCTCCCTCAGCGGGAGGGTGGGATGGTGTCTCCCCGCTTGCGTGCTGAATGTTTTCGTTTTTGTGGTTAGAATGAGGTCAAAGAGGTATGACGGTATCACAAACTCATCGTTCTTTGGGTAGCAGTTCATTCTTGAGGAGGGGGAGGGGTGTTCAAGTGTTGGCCATCTTGCTACCGCAAGCATGCACTTTTCAGAAACAGAGCAGCATGATGCAACAAGCTTGCAAGCTTGGCGGTCGAGCCAAGGCCGCGCGACCGCGGTGGCCGCGCTGTTTCGCCCGCTGGCCGCTGGGCTGGCCCTCCTGGTCCTGTAGCCGCCTGAGCTGGCCAAGCTGGTGTAGGCGTGGCAGAGTGGGGAAGTATCAGAGGAACCGGAGTGGGTACGGAGTTGGAGGATTGCCCAGAGCCATCCAGAGCCCGTATTTGCAAGAATCATGATGCCGTTTTGGTCTTTGACACACCGCGAGTCACCACCATCGGCACTGCAAGACTATGCAAGACTCTTTGGAGTGGGTGAAATGACGAACGGAACCTTTGGTGGCTTGTTTTGGTGATCCCCAAAGCGTGATGCTGTGATGCTCGAAAAAATAGTGAGCAGGCCTTTCACTTAGCTGCCTTGTGAATCTGCTTGAGTTTTCTTTTCTCGTCGGCAGATCATGAGCAAATGTGCAAGAGGCAGCTTTCTGGCCGCAATGCAATGTGGATTTCTTCATCTGGAAGCGCAGAGAGACAGCTGCTCAGCAAACTTCCTTGCGTGTTTTCACATTCCATTTTGCCCTGCAGAGGCTTCCGCAGACTCTCTCCTGCAAGTGTGGGCGCCCAGCCTGTGCAGTCGTCCCAGTCCTAGTTGGAAACACTTGGGACAAACAATTAGCCTCTACAGTCTACAGTAGCTTCAGAGCAGGTAGCAACTTCACACTGTTCGACCACCTTAGAAGTCTGACAGGTGGAGATTCAGGACGACGGTTTTGTGCCATCTCGGCCATGCCCCACGAACCAAACGAACAGATCCATCCCAGCAGGCAGCCTCGTGGAGTGACAGTGTTCCAGCCCCAAAGAGAGCTCAAGGACTGTCAGGTTAGGTTCCACCCTTTGTCCAAGACGTAAAGTGCTTTCCCTGAACAAAGGGTGGAACCTAACCTGACAGTCCTTGAACCTTTGGACAAAGGTTTTCTCTGGTTTAGGTTTTCCCTGAACCTTTGCCTTCTCTGCTTGTCCGAGATCCCACCTCATCCAAGGTCGCCCTTGTTCGCCTGCATGGTGCCCTCCTGCGGCCTTGGGGCAAAGCTGTCCTGCTGGAGGCGCCCATTCGAACCCACGCGAACCCACGCGGAGGAAGAGCTGGGGGTTGTGTTTTCATGACGAGCAGTTGGATGTGGCCTCAAACACATGACAGACATTAGCAAGCCTGCAGTTTTTCATGTGTTCAATAATAGTCCTTAACTTTTTTGGGGCGGGGCAGGAGAAGGGGGGTAGTAGCCTCTTTTTGGAGCATGGCCGCAGCCGGTTCCAGTCGCCAGGCCCAAATGTCTGTGTGCTTGGCCGTCCTTTCTTCGGCAAGAGACGGAGAACTGGTCGGGGAACTCATTTTTCTCAGGCGGAGGTCGTGTACCCGCCACCTTCTGGTCCTTCATCAACCCCCACATGGATGGCTTTCAAAACAATCGCTTCACCCAGCCGATGACCTTTGGAGCTGAGCAGGTCGTTGATCTCGGCCATCCAGCTCATCATCCAGCCATCCAACTTCCTTCAACCACCAGATGTCTGGCACTTCACCCTTCTGCCCAGGCGCACTCCGTGGCGCCAGACAGCTCAGAAGGCCAGGCAGTCCTTGCTCCAGGCCGGGCTTTCCGCCGGCGTGCTCGGTTCCGCCGTGGTTGGTCGGCTCGACGCACTCGACGTGTCGAGGCGCAGGAGCAGGTCGACGTGGCGCTGGGCGAAGCACAGCTCCGACTGCAGGACGCGGTGACCCGTGCAGAGCGCGCGGAGGTGCCGAAGTGACTGAAGAGGGAGGGGAGGGAGGTAGTACGGTGGTATCAAGCAAAAGGTTTTTAACTCTTTAATTGGCGGGTGGAATTTGGGGACCATGCATGACAAAGCTACGGACTAGTGACTATAGTATGTGAGAAGTTGTTGGTCGTTTGGCCTGTTTAGGTACTGTATTTGTTCTTCGATTGAACCTGGTGAAGTTCATGATCAAGAACAGATGTTTCACCGCTTCATCTGGGTGTTTTGGTGTGTTTTAAGAACTGGAAGAGCGTTGAATGCCCTGGGCGACCGCTGCGGTGAACCCGCTGAAAAGCGTGAGGCAGAAGCCAAACAGCTGAGAGGCTTCTTGCAGGAGAGCAACGCGCGCAGCTGGGGCTGAATTTCTGGGTGATTGGACCGAAGAATTCTGGGTTTTCACTCAACCAAACCAAGAGAGGTTGAGAGACCAGAACTAGGACCCTGGGACCCTGGGATGTGGTACATATGGGATGGGCTAGGATGGGCTGTCTCATCAAAACCCCCGTGGACTGCCCGAGGTGCCGAGGCGGCCGAGTCGCGGGCGAAGAAGTGCCGCAACGAGACCGAGGAGTTGAAGGCGTGGAGCGAGTTCGGAGTCGTTCCTCACTACCACTTAAGTCCTTTATAAGTCCTTTATAACACCAATTTCCTTAGGTTCGGGTTTTTGGACGAAGGTGGAGCAGGATAAACTTCCAGCTCCAAGTTGATTCACCATGCAAAAGAAGCATTTCGCTACCTTCAAAGTTTCATACATAGAAGCGGATATTCTGCTTGGGTAGACATGAGGCCTGGCAATTGGCGGCGGGGGCCTTTCTTCAGAGATTCCTCCGCTGCCAAAAGATGCACGATCAGTTTGTCTTTGGTGCTGCTGGTAACAGCTGATCCTAATGAGACCTGCGCCGCGTCGCGGACGCTCCAGGTCTCATTCCGAAAAGCCGAAGAGACTGCGGCCAAAGCTAGGCGGGCGATGAGGTAAGTTTGGCAAGACCTGTCTGATTCGGTCGTGAACAAGTAATAAGGCTGGGTCCAGGACCCACGGGGGTGGTTCATGGACACCCCTGACACCATCCTTAACCATCAACCACCCTTGACCATCCTTAACCGATCAGGGCCTATTGATAGACCTAGACCCCGGCCCTGTCCTCCCCGCGCCGCTCGTCCGCCCCCACGCAGGCAGGACTTGCAGCACGCGCGGAAGCGCGCCGAGGTGGCCGAGACCAGCGCCGCCGCGGCCGCGCCGACGGCGGCGCCGAAGCCGATGGGCTCGGGCAAGGCATCGGAGGACACGCCGAAGGTGAAGGCGAGAGATGTGTGGAACAGGGTGTCAGGTGTGGATGTGGGAGGATGGTCAGATGGCTGTGGGAGGATGGTGAAGATTTGAAGAGATTGGCTGCTGGGCGGTGGTGTTGCGATGGTAAGTCAACATAGGTCCTAGACTCTAGGAAGCTTCGTTTCACATGCATCTGCTGTTGGAAAACCCTGAGCCCTCTTGGGCCACACCTACGAATTGAGGTGTCCTCTCCCCCCCAAAAAACCATCGCCCGCCCCTGACGTCCCGCACCGTGCCGCTGGAGGCCCCGAGACGCCCCGCCTCTGAGCGCTCGGTCTCCCGCTCGGCCGAGCGGACGAATGCCACGGCGCTGCTGGAGACGCCCCGGCTGAAGGCGCTTTCTGCGGCGAGGGCGGCGGTTCTGCGGTTTCTGGGGCTGAAAGAAGGAAGAAACCATCAAAGACCGAGACCCCCTCTTTCTTGGGCTCTGAAGTCTGAGAGGCTAAGACGTGCTTAAAGAGGTGCTGGGAGCCGCAGAAACCCACACTGATATTTGGAGTCTTTGGGATATCTGTGGTTGCTTTTCAAGTCTTCAAAGACTCCAAGGCTTCATCATGAGCTCAAGGACCATGGACAGTGGTCTGGTTCCAGGTGCGGCCACTGCCTGACAGCGGCCCGGCCGGCCCGGCGGGCCCGGCGGGCCCGGGCGCGGTGCCCACTCCGGTGGAGACCCCGAGGCTGAAGGTGAGGAGAGTTCGGCTAGGAAGGGGTGGTTGGGGGGACAGGAATGCTTGGAAAACGAGGTGGGAGTAGAGGGAAACGAATGACTCATCATTACTTGGTTGAGCAGGTTAGTAGAAAGATGTAGGAAGTAGAAAGTAACATCTTGGCTTTTTGCCAGGACTGGTGTCTACTATATACAGGTCAAATCGGATTTTTGGGAGGAATCGGCCCCCCAGATTGGACGGCAGATCCCGCGTGTCTTTTAGTTCTAATTCCATCGGTTGTTTTCAAGATGACGGCAAAATTGAGGCTTGCGAGGCTTGCGACATCCCAGACATCCACTTGGCCTCAAGTTACCCAGCACAAAAATCCTCACCTTTGGATGTGTTTGGCCAAAGCAACGAACAAACATGGCTGGATTCCAGCAGGTTGAAGAGCTCATCAACCATCAGGGTCACCATTATGCCAGAATGCTGGATTGTTCAATGATCCACATTCAAACAGTCGTTGTCTTTCGATATCTATTTCAAACAGTTCAAAACTGGATGTGCATCGAAACTCTGATGAAAGTCCACGCATGCTTCATAGGCTTTGGGAATCTAGGGCCAAATCAACATGCTCAAAGCAGAGATGAATGGCAACCCTGTTCACAACTCGCCCTGGTTCAAGATCCATCTCTGTTCTGAATGTTGGAACCCCACTGAAGATCGAAAGACCCTCCCACAATGAACATACAGACATAAACACATAGAGATACAGATACACACCATTTTCCATTGAAGACACACCAAAGAGAGTTGGGCCCTATAGATGGCCCATGGTCGTGCTGGTCCCCCTCGATGAGAGGCACGGCCGGACAGCTCGCCGGTGGGAGCCTTGATGGAGACGCCGCGGCTCAAGGCGCGGGAGGCGCGGGAGTCCTGTCGTGGTTTTCATTGGTGAAAAGGAGTGGTCATTCGGATGTGGATCAATATTTTGTATGGCCCAGAGGTGCTCCAACATGGGCGATCAGCGAGTGATCAGGTCGTTTTTGGAGGAGCATCTTCACACTCAGCTGCTAGTCCTACCCGCCTCCGCATACACCAGCCGGCCCGCAGCCACGGACGCGGCGCCACGGTGCCAGGCACGTCCCAGTACCTCCACGAGCGCCACTCAGGAAGCCTTGCGGGAGGCACTGAGAACCTCTCGCGGGCGCTTGGAAGGCTGGGATGGGGGGCTGATTTTGGGAGTAGTCGTGAAAACTTAGAGAGACCACCTCCGAAGGTTGGAGGGTAGTGCAGGTGGTAGAGAGGATGTTTCTACAGTGGCGGAGTTGCGCTCTATGTTAATTAACCCACAAAGGAGTATGTATTGATATTGTAGAGTGTCTGGTTTGTGGAGATTGACATGTGTGAGGAAGAAAGGAAGCACATGCCTGCGAGGCGTGGCTTGAGGTCAAGTTGTTGAACTGCTTCCTAGCGCATTTTGGTGGTGAAAGCAGTTGTCAAGCTCTGATCGTTTGACGTGCTGCTTGCTTGAAGTGCTGTTCTTCTGGCGTTTTTCCTTTCGACACCGATGCTTTTCGGTGGAGATGCCGCCATGATGTCCAGGTGCGCGTGGCATCTCGACGGAGAAGCTTCCGGAGACCCGTCTTTGGTGGCTGAAACAGGGAGCTTAGAAGTGAAACTGGCTGGACCCTGTGGAAGACCACTTTCCGCTTAGAATCCTAGTGAGTCGGAGGAATTTCTCTCTTGATGACCGAGCACTTGAGGTGGTACGGTGGTTTCTCTTTCCCTGGACGCGCCTGGACGCGCCGGTTTGGACGAGTCGTTAAAATTTGGTCACGTGTGAAGTTACGTACTCGGATAGAGCAAGAGTCTGGGACACCCAAAACGGCACCCTTTTTGTTGTTGCCAGACCAAAGTGGATAGACTTGCTCACTTCGGAAAGCTTATGATATTGCGGCCGCCCTTGGCTTTCTGGATGGTCCAAACATGTGTGGTCAACCAGGGTCGCCTGGTTTTGATCCAATCCCAATCTAATTTGGGTTTGTTATGGTTTGTTTCTCGGGTCCCAACCCGCGCGCTAGGAGAGAAGAGACAGCCGCGAAGAGAAGCCTCTTGGAGAGTTGTCGAGATGAGCCGACGAACGACCCACATCCAAGACAATGCATCGAACGACCCACATGTCCAAAGGGAACACCAAAAACCGTAACCTTCATGAGCCTTTGCTCTGTGAGCGGATTCTTTGGAATTCCCGATGAACTCGACGAACGAACGAATCCGCACAGGAAACGAAAGCCCCAAGAACGAGCGGAACCCCCCAATGAACGCAGAAGCCGCCAAAGGTTTAGCTACAACCGGAGCTTGGCCATGTTGAAGTTCACGGAGGCGCATGCAGGCGCGACCGGACCAGACCCGGGTCTCCACCCCTTTCGAGCTGGATCCGGGTAGAACGAAGAGAACGAAGGATCTAAGGATCTTGGCATGAGTGAGTGAGACCTAAACCCTTTGTCTTTCATCATTCTTTTCGCAGCAAACTCTGCACCACTACGAAGTAACTCTTTCTCCACGTGACAGACAAGAGGAATTGCTAGACTAATTCACACTGCGGTTCACCCCTTAAAAGGACCACTCTATGTCCAGCCAGAGTTTCATCAACACAAGAGAAATCCAAGTAGGTACATCCCACAGCAGGACTTCTGGTAGCCACACGTCGTCCTACAGCGCGTCGTCCTCGCCGGCGGAGGCCCGCGTCAGTCTCCGAGCAGTGCCATCACCAGCGTCTCTTGGGTGAAGGAAGAGAGGCGTAGCTTGGGTGTAACAAGGGCATCGCTATAAGTAACAAGGGCATTATCTACTACTAGTAGCAGTAGCAAGAAGCTACTGGTAACAAGGGCATCACTTTGGGCGTGTTTCCTCCACCCAGAAAGCCGTCCCTTTGCATTGGCCAATGGATGAATCTTCAAAGAAGATCCAACTGCGTCGGGGAACAACCTCAAGTGCACCCTGGTCTTGGGTCTTACGTGACCAGTCTGGCTCCTGGGTGGAGGGGATCTGGGTCCGGAAATGCTTGGACACTCCAACAAGGCTAAGAAGGTCATTTTTGTCCGGCAAAAAGGCATCACAACTAGTCAGAGTTAGTCATATTCTGTCTCACCATCCCCAACCTCTTTTGCTTGATACACTCATACACTGTTGGTTCGCCAAACCTACACGTTGTTTCTCTAAGAGTTTCACTGGCATTTGAGGCCTTATGACTCCTCCTAGACTCTAGACTGCCTCACTAACTAAAATACATAGGAGATCATAGGAGCTATGCCCTTTGACTGTTAGTTCACCTTTCCGTGTGCGGTGTGGTTCTTGCACGTTCTTGCATCAAACAGGTTCTTTTGCACGCTCGAGCTTTCAAGCCGGGGCCTTTCTCCAAACGCCCCGGTGTCCCTCACCTTCCCCCGCGCTGAGGCCACGAGCAGCATGGTGAGCTTGCCCCGCGACGAGGCATGGGGGTTACTAGCTGGGGGTGGCCTTCATTGGCGTTCCGAAGGTCTCGTCCGTTCGGAGGGATGGAAGTGGATGAAGATGGATGAACCCAAATGGTCTGAAGGTGATACAAGGATGAAGGCCCAAGTTCCCCCCAAACAACACACCTTTCCAGCATCCGTCCAGAAGGGACGGGGCCCCTTGGGGGCGTTCGTGGTGGAATCATTTTGCGGGCAGTGGAGGTGAGTGGACCGACACCGCCTGGGCTCCCCAGCTGCTTGACTCGCCCATCTCCGATGCATTGGCGCGCGAGGGGCCCATGGCGAGTCCGGCCACCCTGAGCTCTCCCAGCCCGACGGGGTCAAAGGGCGACTGGGCCATGGAAGGAGGGGGGTTAAGGTGAAGGCCGATGGTGTGGAAACCGCCATTGACTGGACAAGGGTGATTTAGGAGGGGTTGATGAGCGCCTGTGGTATCGGTAAGCTTCTTCTGCTTGGAAGAACATGCCCAAATCTACCATGTTGGAGTTCCTGTTGTCTTTAAGTATTGGATGAAGCATGATAAAGCCCAAGATGGTTCCTTCTTCTTCACAGCAAAGCTTCTGGAGGTTTTGGGGCAGTCCGAGGTTCCAGAGCAAGTCCCGGAGCAAGTTCAGGTTTCCTGACTTTTCTTTGTGCTTTTTTGCCAGCCTTGAAAGAAAATTGAAATTACATAACACAACCACCATCAGGCAACGAGAATTCAAATAGAAAAAATCCGCAAAGCCAAGGACTTGCAAAGAACACCGGGGGTGGTTTTGTCACCGTCTCCAGGATTTGCTAAGATTTCTTTTCGTTTCACCGCCAATCATCTCTGAGGCGCCAAGTCCCGATTCCTCCTGGCCTAGCTGCGATGTCCCTTGTCCCACACGTGTGACACGTCCATTGCGGCTAGAGAGACTTCTGCTCGAAGCTTTACCATGGTAATGTCATATCTTGATATGTCTTCAAGGCTTTGCACACCGATTCACTCAGCAGTTGTGCTCGAACGCTTATTCGAACAACGTGACTGGTGGGCAGAGAGCTTTCAGAGTAGTTCGAGAGGGACCCCAACTGCCATGCGTAGCCTGACAGTGACACTGTCAGAGGCAAGGCCAGTCCAGGCGACACCCATTTTAAATGGAATGCCAAGGCGCCTTTGGGGTCTTCCACTTGGTTAGTGACTGAAACCTATCGTTTTTGGTGGCTGGCACTCGCTGGATTTGGTTGTTTGACCATGTTTGACCCTCTGGCGCCGTGGCTCCTCAGTCGCTTCCCGCTTGTGTGATAGCAGCTAGGCGATCTGGACGGTTTCGAATATATTTGGGAAACGTTTTTGACCCGGAATCAAAAACCTTTATGACCCGCCTTGCCACGGCAATCGCCAGTATCGCGCGCGCGCGCTCTGTCTCTCTCTCTCTCTCTGGCTGTCTGGCTGTCTGGCTGTCTGCCTGCCTGCCTGCCTGGCTGCCTGGCTGCCTGGCTGCCTGGCTGCCTGGCTGCCTGGCTGGCTGGCTGGCTGGCTGCCTGCCTGCCTGGCTGGCTGCTGGCTGCCTGGCTGGCTGGCTGGCTGGCTGCCTGGCTGGCTGGCTGCCTGGCTGGCTGCCTGCCTGGCTGCCTGCTTGGCTGCCTGCCTGGCTGCCTGCCTGCCTGGCTGCCTGCCTGGCTGCCTGCCTGCCTGGCGGCTGCCTGCCTGGCGGCTGCCTGCCTGGCTGGCTGCCTGCCTGGCTGGCTGCCTGGTTGGCTGGCTGCCTGGTTGGCTGGCTGCCTGCCTGGTTGGCTGGCTGGCTGCCTGCTGACTGCCTGCTGGCTGCCTGCTGGCTGCCTGGTGGCTGCCTGCTGGCTGCCTGGTGGCTGCCTGGTGGCTGCCTGGGGGCTGCCTGGTGGCTGCCTGGGGGCTGCCTGGGGGCTGCCTGGCGGCTGCCTGGCGGCTGCCTGGCGGCTGCCTAAGGGGCCCAGATGTGACCAGGCTGACCGCAAGCAAAAATAATGTGTCCTTCATTTATTTTTGCTCCTGGTGGCTGCCTGGCGGCTGCCTGGCGGCTGCCTGGCTGGCGGGCTGGCGGGCTGGCGGGCTGGCTGGCTGGCTGGCTGTCTGTCTGTGTCCATGTTTCCGTATACTTTTTCTGATGATGCGGTGAGATCTAAAACAGGGACTTGTATTGCCAAGTTGTATCACAGGAGGAAGATGCTCCAGATCGCAAGCGTCAATGGTCTCTTGTGATGCACGCGGTGCATGCAGCACCTTGTATGGGACGGCGAAGACAAAGTTTTGTTCTATATTGCAGACCCCTTTCCGACACACCTCTAGAGTGAAATCACTGGTGAATTAGTTGAGGCAATGTTTGGATGTGTTAGTTGGGTTGAGTCTAGGACATCACATCATTTCGCTGCAAAAAGCGCCACACGCCCCGCCCCAGGAACACACTTGAGCCCCCGTGATCGACACCTTCACCGTCGCCCCATCGAGGATTAGAGTCGACAAAGGATGTTCTTTTTTGCCAGGCTGAGAGGCCGAGAAACTGTCCATCTAAGGAAAACCCAATGGGTATCAACTGAGCGCAGTTGCCCAGAATCTTTTTCTTGACTGCTCAAACCCAATTGATGGGTCTGTCATGGTTCCCATTGGAACTTTCTTAGATTCCGATGGGTCTTAGACCCGCGCGTAAGCTTACGCGGCGTGGCCGCAGTGAGACGTTCTGCCGCCAAGCGGCGCGTGGCACGAGTGAACTTGGTTCAAGTAGCTTGGACCCGGGATGCTGCGACCCCTCACCAGCGAGCCGGCGGTCAACACGACGGTCTGGCGCTGGCATGAGGGTGTGAACTGCGCCAAAAGGAGGGCAGGATGGTGATAATCACGATCTATACTGTAAAAGATGTCTTCCTCCAGTGCTTTGGTGTTCTATTATCTTTGGGAATTGGACCATGCCGCACCAGGTGGGGCGACATTATCCACCGTGTTCCCAGTTGCTTTGAGCACCTACCATAGGCCACGTCCGGCACGCCCACCGCCACGGTGCGAGCGACCGAGTGGACCTCCGTGGACCCCAGCCATCATTCAACGGTGGAGCGAGCTGCGCCAACGGCCCTCCGAGGTCTATTTCAGGTGGACTTAGTGGTCTTCGGATTGCTCTCTGCCTTGGGCCACTGGGACGGGGGTTTGGAGGTGGCGGGCAGATGCGGAATATTTTGCGTGCGGGCCCGGTTCGGTGTCTTTTTGGGTGTGTGACATGGAAATAGGAGAGGGGCAAACCAAGCACACACATGCACACATACACACGATTTCTATGTCTAGAAGAGGCGCCCAAAAGTGGTCGCTGGGATTCTGGGATATTCCGGCTCCATGCAGAGCAAGGTCTTTGTATGTGGGCTCGGGCAGTTGAAGCAGAGGCACTGTGCTTCAACATGTGTTTGTGGATAGATAGACAGCTGGAATTGATAGAGAATGATACCAGCAGTTCCAAGAAAATACCTCTTGGAGGGTAGGGGTGTCATGGGCTGTCCATGATCCATCCATGATCCATCCATGATCCACTCACCGTCGCGGGTTTCAAGAAATCTGGGCACCTCTTGTTTTGTTGGACACATCCCTCCTGCCGGGTTTTCCAGATGCACCGGCCCGATTCTCGCACCCCAGGTCGGGCGCGAGCGGCGCAGCTGGCGCATCTCCTCTGGGCCTGGCGCGACCTGTTTGGGGGAGTTGGGCGCTGGGGTGAGTGGACAGAGACCAGCCACCCCTGGTGGTGTAACAATTGACTGGAAGATATCGGATTTAAAGATAGCAGCCAGCCACACGGGGCCAGACAGCCAAATTGCCTGGTTGCTTGGGTCTGGTTTTCCTCCTTTCCACAGGCCTTGGCCTCTAAAAAAGGGCCAAGATCTGTGATAGACGTTGGATCCACATGACCTGGGCGACTTCTGCCAGGTGTTGGCGGTGGCCATGAGCTACCAGCAGATGAGCCCGATTCCCGAGGTACGTGAGCGATCTCTCGAGCTGCGCGTTTTGGCATCGAAGTCCTCGCACATCGAACTAGGAACCAATTGTCCACACGAGAAGCGAGTAGTGCTGGGAGAGTTCCAGACAGACGTTGCCCGCCTGTTTTTCCGCCTCTCAGAGAGGCCTCCTTCAATGACACCTGCCACACCTTCGCATCCTTGTTGCTGGGAAGCCTGGGGGGTCTGCCGGTCTCGGACGAGCCACGAGTGGAGGAGACGAGCAAACGGTCGGAGAGCATCGTTTGAGAGCTGCACTCTCTCAGCACACGTTTTTTGCAGTGTATATTATACCTACGATACCTACGGTAAGTCTTCTAACCAGTAACCATGCAACATTTAAACATCTTGTTGTGCTGGGTCTTTGAACAGGCAACTGTTTTGCAGAGTTGGAAGATCTAGGCATAGGTACCGTGGTGTTTGGGCGGTTTCTACTGATGACTCCGCAAATCGATGCAAATCGTTTGAAAGGATCTGCAGGTAGCCGTTAGCTGCTTGTGTCATTATGGCACATTTCCACAGGAAATAGTTTTCATCATCACCATGTCACCATGGCATTGAAAGAAGGGGCAGAGAGGACATGGATACAGCCCGAAACCAGAACTCAACGAGGAAGGCGTCCGTGCCCCCGGAAAGAAACGCCATCCGAGAACAACAGCCTTTAACAAAAAGAGAACCAACTCCCCAATCATTCTCCCCTCCCTCTCAACAGAAACCGGACCATCAGCCTGCATCAGACCACCCCAGTGACCACCCCCCCGCCCGCGGCCACCTGGTCGCCACCTGGGCAGCTCCCTCTCTTGCCGAGGCCCTCCGCCATGGCAACCTTGGCCATCTCGTGGTGGCCCGGGGGTCCGAGCAGAACATCCACGAGTTCGGGGGCGGAAGGCATTTTTTGTATATTTTTGTAACGAGTGAAAACTCTCAGACTCTCAGGGTTCTTCTTCTTCTTCTTCTTCTTGGGGTTTTGGAACTCGGAGTCCTGGGAGTGAGTCTGCTTTTTCCAACCATATGAGCTCATACTGTAGATGGCCTTTGACGATATTGGTTGGCCCAAGCGTACAACCGATAGGTATATGGTATAGTACCAAACTGACCCCTCTATTTTGCCCCAAAGAACATCATTGAATTCACGGATTATATAGCCATATAGCCCATTCGATGCTTAGGCCTTAGCTTGGAGGGTAGGGGTGCCCATGACCCACTCCTTTGCAACTGCCGAGTCTTCCCACGTCCCCGGCGAGGCTGCCCAAGCCCGAGCTGCCGCATGCGCCGCGCCGCGGGCGGATGCGCTGCCTCGCGACCTTGGCCATCGCAGGTACTGCGAGCCGAGCGGTTTTTCATACGACTGGTGGCGCGGTCAAGCAATTTGATGATGGTGTTGCATTGTGTCTTTTAGATAGGATCTGTTGTATACCTTCATGGTGATGCAATAGGACATACAGCTTCCTCTTGAAGATTCGTTCTTCTCCATTCCTATGTTGAACTTTCTCGCCTTCACGTCAGGGGCGTGGTCACCCCTGACATTTTGCCTCAGGCATCAGGCATCATCAGGTAGATCCGAGCATTTTCAGATCTACCTCTACCGGGCAACTGAAAGAGCTTTGACAGCTCTTTCAGAGCTCTATACCTGCCATGATTTCATATGATTTCCCTGCGACCCACCAGGCTTTGATCGCCTCAAAGCTTCCGCGCCCTTCCCGTCCGATGACCCTGGCATCGTCCCCCTGGGACGCCAGGGCCTCGGCCCGCCAGGAATCCTGGCGTCCGGTCTACAGGACTGTCGATGGGGGGGGGTGATCGGAGGTGTCTTAAAGCATGGTAAATGCCATTCTAGTAGGGGGCTTAGAGTCTAGTGTAGACTCTAGATTCATTGTTGTATATACGTAGGCCCTGTTGTCTGAATTAGACGATAGAAAAGGGTGTGGGGGTTTCTTGACTCAACGGTGTAGGCCTGTTCCCCAACACAGATGTTCCACTAACTTGGCAAGTCTTCAAGTGGCATAGCTAACTGGACTCAGGTCAGTTCAAGCTTGCGCTTTTCAGAAGCTTCTTGATTTGGGGATCAACTACTCTCGTCCACTCTCAGTCTCCATTCCATGTCTTGATCCAAATCCAAAGGCTTAAGGGCTGTCGTTCCATCCACCGATCGGCGACCCCGCTCGCTTCGGGACTGAATCGACTCAACTCGTTGAGGATGGCATGCTCCACAGCGACTTCCAGTGGCCAGCGGCGCTCCAACCCTTGGCCGACTGGGCACCTTGGACCATGTGGGGCGGCCGATAGGGCAGGCTGGTGAAAGTTCGTGGTCCGTTCGGTGTTTCAGCAGGTGGATGGGCCTACTTGGCCGTCGACCTTTTCACAAGCCCGAAGTGTTTCCCCAGACTGCCAGACCTTTGGGTGTTGGGTGATTTTTCTTGCTTTCTGAGTGGGGCAGATGATCTAAACATCCACCTGCTCAGACTGCTCCGTTTGGTTTCTCGGGAAAAATGCCGACCGCAAGTGCGTGTTGGGAGCTCAGAATGGACATCATTTGGATTAACCAACCCGACAACACTCGATAGAAAAAACCCAAATGTGCGGAATGCTCAGCGCAAGAAACACCAACAGCATCATGATTCAGACATCCAGCACCCCAACACCTCCTAATCATAACGCACGGCAAATACCCTGGACTCCCACTTCCCGGGTGGTGTCAGTCGTGAACTCTTCACCGGTAGGAGTCCTTCTCTCGCCAGAGGTGAAGTTGATGCACATGCCGAATCGATCCTATGCGTGGCTCCTGGATGGTATGGGTGTGGCAACGGGCGACTGAAGTTCCTTTTTCTTGTGCTTTTTGATGTTCGAAGAACTGCTCCTTACTGGCACCTGACGCCACCCCCCTCAGTCATTTCAGTCAACTGCCGAGGTGCTTCCCTGCCATTGCTACGAGCTGCTGCTGGTGTCGGACGGCCCAAGAAGCACACCGTCCGGATGCGAAGCACACGACCCAAAAACGGAGGTCGACCGGAAGAGAAACATCAGCGAGTCTCATGGAAGTATGAGTCTTAAGCATCTTTTTTCGTTCGAAGCATCATTTTGTGCGAGCTGAGAGGCTATTTAAGCCAAAAGGAGTGTATTATGTGTATTTGGATGTATATTTCCTTTTGCCCTCTATCAGAATCGGGCCCCGTCCACCGTCCAGGAGAACACCGTCTGCATCTGCCCATTACGACCACCGTCCGGTGGTCGTCGATACGGTGGATCGACCGTTGGATCGGCGAGGTTTGGTCTGCTGGTGCACTTGAAGCAAGGCTGGCTTGGTGTGCACCGACAGGAGAAGATCCAGACACGAAGTGGGAAGTGGGAAGTAGGTGGTTGAGGTGGTTGAGGCGGTGGGAAAGGTGGCATCTCTTGCCCCTCTTCACTCCACTCCACTTCCATTCGATGTTGCCCCTTTCTTGGTGCCCTGCACTGATCGAACCACGGTGTTTCCACTGATCGATCCTGCTTGGATCAACCGTTGCCCCCGCCCGCCCCGTGGCCGGCGAGGAGTCTTGGTCCGGACTGAGGGCCTTGGCGCGGATGTCGGCCGGCGTGTGTGCCTCGCGCCTTGGAGCGCGCTTGGCCGGTGTTTCCGGGGTTTCACCAGCCGGCGCCGGAGCGGAGGTCGAGGATGAGCCAATTCCATCCAATTCCCAGGTGGTTCATTTTTGATAGTTCAGTTTTCGCTTTGTTTTTGGAGGTGGGATTTGGAGACCAATTGTGGAGGGAAGGTGCATTTTTTTTGAAGAGTATAGCAGTCTGTTGAAGCAAATGAGGTCCAGAGGGTGAAGTCAACATAGTCAGGTTCTTCAGGCCTTTGAGATACACCATGCCTGAAGAGTAGATCTGATGAGATTTTGATCCATAGATGGGCTCCAAAACTGACCCTCCATTCTTCAGGAACCTCTTCATGCTCCACCTCGCAGGGGCCTTCATCTACGAGGCGACGGTTAGACCGGTGAAGAAGGGGGGTGGAGCTGACTCGTGGGTGATGTATATAGCCACTGCAACCGGGAACCAAACATTTGCATGCCGCATGCCCCATAAATCATAAAACGGGGTGAAAAATAGGCCTGGTTCACCATCGCTTGAGTGGTAGGCAATGAATCCTTTTGGATCCTGACCATTTCAACTTGAGACACGTTGTGTTGACAATCAACCCCTTTCTCTTCAACTTGATTTGCATGCCCCACACGAAGCCCCAAAGAGTCCTTTTTGGGGTCGCTGAGCCCGCTGAGAGAGTCTCAGAACTGAGGAGCCGGTGGACTTGAACGTCTTCTCCTTCTGGGCGCATTTGCTCATGGTCTTCGCCTCCTCCTTGCTGGCGGGGATGGGGATCCTTGCTGCTGGTGGAACAAACATCGATTGAAATGCGTTTGGAACAGCAGAGCAGGATGAAACTGAGGACCAGTGGGACCCCAATCGAAGTGCTCTGTTTGGACCTGATGTACTATGTAAGACTAGAACTTGAGGTCTGACTGCAAACCCTACTGACCTACTGACAACAACCCACTTGTATTCGGCAAGGATTTGCAATGTCATTTCATCTCATTTTCTGGAAACATATCACACATGATTGAATCCAGCCGGCTATATTCAGACCCCCAAATAGATATAATAGTAAAATAGTATAGATCCCCTCTAAAAATGTATTGGACACTGTTTCTATCTATTTGGGGGTCTATATATACCAGTTCTGCTCGAACTTCCTTTCATCAGGCCTCCATCATGGTGCATGGCTTGATCGAAGGCTGGGGGACCGACGAAGACATGTCGAAGCGTCGAAGGCGACATGATCAAGATTCCTGTCCCCGACCCTGAAAGAGGCAAGAACACATGATCAAGATGTCCTCCCCTTTTTGTGTTCTAAGTTCTCACCATATATAAATTCTCTAAGTCCTATACAGAAACTTTCCTTGATGTTCGCCCGCGTCGCTGGCTGGAATCTGGACCAACCCTGGGATTGGCTCCAATCTCTCAACTTCTTGCAACTTCGGAAACTTCAGGGTTTCCGAAGTCTTGTTTCTTGTCTACAGGATTTCCCCACGGTGTCCCCGCCCGACACCCTGGGAGTCTGAGACAGACTGTCTTGAGTCATCCCGTCCGTCGGGTGACCACCTCCCGCCCGTCGATTCCGCGCGTGGACGTTGGAAGGCCCGTTCGCGTGCATGCTCACGGATGGCCTTCCACAGGAGATGCCTTCCGCTTTTTGAGGGTCTGGTCCAGGTCTGAACATCTCGAGAAGAAAGAACCACAAAAGCAGGGCTTTTGCAGCTGCAAGTTTGCAGCTTGCGTGAAGAATCTCAGGCATCGCGGCTCAACAAAAATAATGCGTGTGTCCAATCACCGGAGAGTTTTCGTTCAAGCTTGACATGGGACACATGCTTCTCCAACGTCCCACGCTCCGGTCCGGGTCTCAGTGTCCGCAGGACGTGGTGGCCTTCCCGGCCGCCGCGGCGGCGGCGTAGCGGCGAAAAAGGGCACCGCACCGCGTTGGCGCTTGAGAGTGGGGCGTGGGGGGGGCATTTGGGAGGTTTTTGACTCCGCAAAGTCACATAGAACCTGATGGCATGGACCAGTGGTTTCGACCATTTTCCGAATACCAACCCAGTGGTTTTGGGGTTCCATGTGGTCCTCTGCAGGGGAGTATGTGTGTTTTCTTTCTGATGGTGATGTTGCTGATGAGGATGTTGTGGATGTTGTGATCTGGGCGTCAGTCTAGTATTTCCAACATTGTGTGGGCCAGGCGCACGCATCATTTGTGAAGAAAGACACATGCACCAAAAGCCATAAAGAGTCCGCCATGTCGCGGTTTTTCGAAGTGACCCTGTCGCGGTTCTCAAGTGACCTTATGTAGGCCTCAGTGTTGTGACTTCCACTATCAGCCTGAGGCTAGAAACCCATGATTCTAGTTTTTCTTGTTTCTTTTTTTCAAAATGGTTTTGATGTACAGTATTTTTTTGTTTTGTAGAAGTGGTATGAGCCAGGCGCGACTTTTCCATTAGTACTGTATGTATTTTGTGTCTTTGACATATTGCTTATATAACGTTTGTTTGTATGACCCTCGAAAGGCGGCATGATCAGGCCATACACCTTTCAGACAAGAGTTAGTAAATGTTATTAAGTGCCCATACACTTATCATGCAAAGATCAGACACGTGCCGTGTGTTACAGAACAGTGCTTCGAGGCTTCTGACCATTTTCCAGGTGGGGTGCAGTGACTCTCAAAGGCTGTGATTTTAAGGCATACCACTTTTCCAGGATCATAAACAAAGCATGGATCGGACCTGCACCTAAGTCGCACAAACATCATTTAACATGAATCTGCAAGAAACCTCCTGTTGCAGAAGTGGAACTGACCTTGAAAACCAGGGAACCACAAGTAAAGCCGCACAGAACAGCACGAACAGATCGATTGTGCCGAGTCACAGAACAGCACCGACCACCCCGGCCAGCGACCACCCCGCGCCGTTCGTTCGTCCGTCTGCCGAGTCCATGCGGTTGATGCAGTCATCTCAGATCAAACAGCGTGCTCCTCGCCTTTTTTTCCTGTGCTGCCCCACCTCGTGTCCGGAATGCTTCGGTTCTTGCTCATCACTGTCGGGGCGATGGCAGCAGCAGAGGAGCTTCATGCGGCCTTTGCAGCACGGCTCAAAGAGCTGATTGACTCAGAAACGAAGATCCCAACGAGAACTCCAAGCAACACGGAACAATCACTGACTGGTGCTTAGTAGGGAATAAGGGAATGAGCCCCCAATAGAGATTCTATTGGATCCATTCCCTCATTCCCTACTAAGCACCAGTCAGATCATGATGTGTTTTTTCTACGTTCTGTTCGACGTTCTTCTCACGTTTGGTCAAGCAGCTTTGGTCATGGTCTGTGTGGTCGGTCATGGTCCCGACATCTGTTCCATGATTCGTTGAGCAAACGGGAGCCATGATTGAGTGGGATAGCCTTTCCAGCAGATGGAAACAGATCCAAGTTGTTGTGACCATTAAAAAAACACGAAACCTTTTCAAACCACAATCAATGTTTTCTTTTTTTTCTTCGGAGCTGAGTGGACAGAGAAAGACTCCCTCCCTTCCTGGTGGCCTTCTGCTCTGGGAGAAACAGCATTCGGCCGTTCCTCGGGTCGGAGCCTTTTCAGAATTCGACCCCAACTGCTTGGTACGTTCGTACTTTGAGCAAGATGGAAATGACCAGTGCTGAGAGTTGGAAGCACCCAGGCCCCTAGGCCTGCCCAACGACGCTCAGGGTCCATCTCATCCTCCGGGAACCGCTCAAGAGCGCCAAAAAACCCACCGAGAGCGGGGTTGGGGAAAAAACCCAGACGGAGTCGGAGTGGTGAAATCTGAAATGAGGACCTGGATGACGATTGTCAGGATGAGATCCTTAGCGGCCTTAGCTACCGAAGTCGGGCGCCTGTCGTCCGTGTTGCGCGGCGATGAGAATCCGCGAGTCCTGTGCTAGGGCGCGAGTGCTGGGGACAGTTGTAAGGGCTTTGGTTTGGCTGGCTGGCCGGGAGATGCCGGTAGTCAAGACCCTCACCCAAACGCCTGCTCCAATGAGATCAGACCATCCCCACTTTTTTGGGTTCGGGAAAGGGAGTCCGGTGCCATGAACCCCAAGCAACGGACTGGTTTTGATGTTGAAAAGCCATGAGACACCTTTTCATCCGTGCAGAACTTGTGGAGGCTCCTCGGTTCCCCTCCCCATGGGCGCTCTGAGCTGCTGGCTCCCCTGCGCTTGGCCGCCCTGAGGACCTGCGCTCTGAACGCCCTGCAAACCCGGGCGGAGAACTCCACCGATGACGAGATGGAGTGCGGGGGGGATGGAGATTGGGACGAAAGGAACGCCACCAGAGACCGCTGAGGACGAATGAAACGAAAGGTGGCTCAGCAACTCGAAAAGACACGGACCCCATCAGCATCCAGGGATCCCCACATCACACTCCCCAAAAAGACACACGAGTTTTGCGCCGAAGATCTCAGATATGATAGATAATTATGGATATGGCGATATGGCGATACGGCTGCTTGCGGGTGTGTGACGGTCGTCATCGAACATATACAGGAATTAAACGAAACGGAACCAAAGATGGGTGACGCGCAGATCGTAGGCAGCACGCATGCTGCGTCGAGTCGCAGAACTGCAAGTTGTACAATGCACCCAGACCAAATGAAATTGAATGCCTTGAGTTTCGTGACGCTTTTTGGAATCCTCAGCATTTTCATGCGTTTTCTGTGGGAAGAACAGTGCGGGCCAAGGACTGCAGGATGTTTGTTGCGTTCTCCGGTTGGATTGTTCATTTTTGTTCATTTTTGATCCAAAGACTGGCCTCTGAAGGCTTCCACACGCAGGTCGGATCGAGAGGAACATGTCAACAAAGGCCTTTGGGGATTCAACGATGCACAACAAGCCCATGTTTCAGACTCCATGGTGCAATGTGGGCTGGGTAGTCCAGCCAGGGACTCAGGAGAGATCCTGGTCCTCATGAACGTGGGGAAAATGGATCGCCCGCACCACTGTTGGGGGGATCGCTTGGTGGCTCCGGACAAATATGAACAAATAAAACGCATCGAAAAGGGACCCTAGGCCGCCCTAGGCCCTACTTCACGACCCCACAACTGGGAGGAGCCGCAGAATGAGACCTACTACTTCCAGGACAACGAGGACCACATCAACGACTTCTTCAGTGAGGAGGAGAAAGGCGTGAAGAAGAAGCGCGGTGGCCGCTTGGTTGGTGCAGTTGGTCTGCTTGGTGGCTCAGGCAGACTGCGATGAGGTGTGATGAGAGGTGTAGGTTGGCGGGATGTTTTGGAGGGCTAGCTTGCCCCCTCGGCCCCTTGTACTTTTTTAGTCAGTGGTAGCTCAATCCTCACCTTCTCCGGTCCACTCACTCTCAATCCAACGCTTCGGCCGTAGACGTTCGTCACGCAGACCGACCGGTCGTGGCGCCTCGCCGAGCTGGTCGTCGCTGAGGTTGGGGCGTCGGTGGCGACAAGCTTTGGGGCTCCGGACGCGGCGTGGAGGCGCGGTCCGAGCCGCGAACCTGAACGGCCCAGGTGGAGGTGGCTGCCAGGGGGGCCATCCGAGGGTAGTAGGACCAGGGTGAAGACATAGTGGGTAGAGCTGTGATGGACACTGGGAACACTGTGGAACACTGCTATTGGTGTGCTAGCTAGCAAGTCTGTAGCTTTTGGCCAGGTGTTGTGGAACCAGGGTGTCAACGTCCTTCAACTCTATGCCATGCAAGGGTGAGAGTCGTGAAGCTCAGGCCAAGTGCAAGAGCATGACTCAAACATGCGTAGAGTCTTCTGCGCCATAGAAGAATCCACAAGTGGTGCCAGCTAAGCGCGGCCGCATGCGGCCGTCTTCTTCAGGTCTGGTGAAAAATACTTGTTTTATCTTTCTTTTTCGGGGATTCTGCAGCTATGCGAAGAGCGGACGCTGCGCAGCGTTCTGGTTTGCATTCTCTTTGTTTTTGCAGCTCTTCCAGAGACCTTGGAGAGTCCTACCACCAGGACATCAATGGTGGCAATGTGGGCTACTACAACTCGGGCATGTATGCTGCCAAGGGTCGTCCCTCGGGCATGTATGCTGCGGCGTCTACTGTTGTGGATTGGGTTGGAGAGCAGGGGTTTGTTCAGTGGTTCACAGGATGGGGTGAGTCTTCAAAGCTCGACAATGACAAGGGGATTCTGCAGATTCCCCACCTGTTTAGTAGCATGCAAGCACACGTGACGCCCGCAAGTGGCATTTGAAGAGATGGTGAAATCTTCGTGTCAGCCGGGCTTCCAACATGTTCCAACTTGCAGTCCAGCTATTCATGCCAGTATATTTGCCGAGCACAGGGGTGGCTTCGAAGGTTCAATGGTGTGGAGCATATGTGGAACATATTCTAGCAATGAGGATGGTCTGGAAATTCCTGAAAACCACAGAAATACCTCCTTATGAAGATGTCTGGAGCTTTGGAGAACCACCCGGGACCCCGCGGATCCATCGTTCCGGGGACGTTGCCCAGAACCACGTCGCTGGAACATCTCCAGCAAATTGGTCATTGGACAAGAAGAAGAAGAAGAAGAAGAAGAAGGAGGAGGAGGAGAAGGAGAAGGAGAAGGAGAAGGAGAAGGAGAAGAAGAAGCTGAAGCTTACAGGAAGCTTTGAGATTCCAATCGTGGATTCCTTTGTGGTTTTCTTGGATATGTGACATGTTGTTATCTTGGATACTCCTGTGGGTTTTTATCCAAGAAGTTGGGGCCAAAAATGGTTCCGACGAGGCACGAAATCACTTTCCAAGCCGATTCGTTCCGAATATCTCAGGCTGCGGTGGCTCAGGCTGCGCGCTCATCGTGAACCCTCCTGGGCATCGCAGCTTGGATGAGGGACTAAGTGAGATGGTGATCGGCTCCCAACGCATAGCATTTGGGTTGAATTTACAGGAGACCCCCAACCTCCCCCAACCAAAACAGTGCGTGTTATCCTCAAGGTCGTTGCGGCAACACCTGGCAGCCAGCAGGTCATTTGTTGGTTTGGATGCTCGTGACAAGTTCTCAAGCAGGTCATGTTCCCGTTCGGGATGGTTTGAAGCGAACTGAAGCGCTTCCGGATCTTGTGCCATTGACTGAAACAGTGGGACACTGCTGGGATGTTGGCCAGCCATCACTTTTGGATGTTTTTGGATAATATAGCCTTGCCTCGCGGGTGATTTGTTTCAGTCCTGCATCCCCTGAAAATCCACGTGATCCACATGTCCTATCTTGTTCGGACCAACAGATCGATGAAAGCATCATGAACCAAACCCTGCAAAGCTGCCAAGCCCCTTGCGGAAATATCAATATCTTGGATATCTTATGTATCCTTTCAAACAAGAACACTCCCATGCAAAGCACCAGTTACAGGTTCTCTCCCATGAGATGGAATCGGAGTAATTTGGTCACCACTAAGCGTCGCTGCATGTGACCCAAACCGAAGGCTCCATCAACCAGTTCCACATCCACTTCGTCCACTATGCTGGCGTGGAGCCCAAGACTTTGATTGAGCCCAGAGGATTTTGTCCGAATTTTCAGGGCTCGTTCGCAGTTCTTTTTTGTTCAACTGGGTGGAGCCTGAGGTCCCCAAAACCAAAAAGACCCCAAAAGCCAGGACCGGACCTTCACCGATGGGGGCATGGGTCTCAAACGAGCGCAGGTCCCTTCTGGGCGAGCGAAGGTCGACCAGACCTGGGGGCTCCGTCGGTGGCCGCGGTCGTCGGCCGCGGGTCGGCGAGGCTACGGCGCCAACCTGAAGCGTCGCTTAGAGGATCGGGTCTGCGGCAAGTGCCTTGGGCCGATGCGCTGGACCGTGCGGGTGGGTGTTTGTTTTGAAGCGTGTGTGGACAGTGGGATGGGATGGTGGGATGAAAGTGATGAAGGTGATGAAAGTGATGAGATGGCTGTATATATATTCTTCTCTTTTTTGTGGGGGCTTGAGTGGGTTTTCAAGAGACTTTTGCACATCAGTAGTGGAATGGCTGCTTTTCCGTGTGGGGACGAGACGGCGAGGTGCCCATTCTTCTGATCTGTGGAGCCCAGCAACGACACTAGACCAGTCTACCCTGGCGCCAGGGGCGAGAGCCCGGAAGTCTTCCTATAGTTTCAAGCCAAGCCCCAGGTCCCTTTGGTACTTGAGATTGGAAGATCGGGTGGTCCTTGGGACTCATAGTCCCCCAAACAGGTTTACCTGAGGGGTTCTTACTCCTTTGAAAGGGGTGCATGACCGGGTGTGATTCTGTTTGGTTTAGCCATTTGAATCATGACTCCACCTGCAATCATTCGCCGTCGTTGCATACCGCTGCCATTTGAAGGGTGCCCTTTTGCCACGCTTGTCTTTTCAAGCGACTAGCTACTGTCCGCCATAGACGCCACAGAGGAGTCCGACTTTCGAACTTCCTGGAGCACGTGAGGTGCTTGGAAAAAGGCAGAGCGCTAGCAGAGCATACTTTGTGATTGTCACCACCTTGGTTTACTTCCCCTTCGGCTGGCGACCGTTTCGCCTCTTGTTGAAGCTGCCAGTATCACACCGATACTGGTAGCGGAGCCGGCAAGGCTCGCGCTGGCGTGGAGGACGAGAGGAACCATCCGGAGTTCTCCACCTGAGGTGCACGAGTTTTGAGATCCAGGGCAACGGTGGCTGGTACTTCTTTCTTTTGGTTGCTGAAAGGGGCTTGTTTCAGTGCACGAGTCATTGAGGATTCCCTCGGCAATCTGGTTTGGGCTCGCGAGCATTTTGCTTTTGAGTTGACTCTCCCTTCATCCTGCTTTCCTTCCTCGCTTCTGAGTATTTCTTGGGCCAGGAGGCCATGACCGAGAAGGACAAGGACACCTCTTTGAGGTGCCATTGGGATGGAGACTTTGCTACATGGCCGGACTACGTGAGGAAAGTCCGGCTGGCTTTCGAGAAGACCCGTCGTCGCAGGCGGGCACAGCTAGGACCCGACTTAGTGTCCCAACTGTCGGGCAGGGCATGGGTTGTCACCCAAGAGATCGACTACAAGGCATTGACACAACCCAATGGAGCCCGCTACCTGATCACGTTCCTTGAGGAGCGCCTCGCCCGCGTTCCAATCCCGGATGCGGGATCTCAAGCAGAAGCACTACTTCTTCGCCTTCGACGAGTACCAGGAACTTCAATGGCGACCTGGTGTGCGCAGGTGAGAGAGCAGTATAGAAAGCTGCAGAGAGCACTTCGCCGTGCTCGAGGAGATGCGGTGGAGTTCAAGCCTGGTGGAGCTCCGTCGCAAGCTTCCTCGAAACCCCGCTCCAGTCCGGAGCCTGCAGCCGAAGAAGGAACAGAAGAAGAAGAAGCACAACGTGCTGATGAAGAAGAAGCTGAACCTCGTTCACCTACCAGGCCATCCTCCTCCAAGGGTGGCAAGTCGAAAGGCAAAGGAGATGACCTTCGCTCTCCCTCTCGTGGATCTCGCTCTGATCCTTCCGACAGTGAAGATGAACAAAACGACAACTTTTGGGAGGACCTGGACACTGGTTTGCCTGAGGTCCTGCCTAGTGAGTTGCTAGGTTGGATCATGCTGCGGAAGTCATCTTTGAATGCTGCTCAACGTCTCAACGTTCTCTCCAGCATAGGAAACTCCCTCAAGGCCGATGACATCGAGAAGGGCTTGCGAGGAGCTGAGGACGAACTTCGTCTTGTGGAAAAGGAGAGAGAAGGAAGACCAAAAGGGTCTGGCAAATCCAAGCATCGCCCTTCGTTCTGGGTGGAACACCAAGGTGAGTGGGGCTTGCTGCTCACCTCTGAGTGTGATGATGAAGACCTCCTGGAAGGTGACATCCACTGGCTGGGAGGACTACCACAAGACCAAGTCTTTCAGACCACTTCCTGGGAGACTCCTTCGGCACCACCGCCGGCAGTTGAAGAGACGTTTATGAGTGATGATGGATTCTGGGGAGCTGACCCCTCGAATCCTGGAGCATACCTGTGGTGGAACCTTGAGGCCGACGGCGAGTACTACCACTGTGACTCCCATGGCACGTTTTGGTCATGGTCTGAGGCCGATGTTTGGAATGATGTGCTCTGGAGCACGCCTGAAGAATCCAAGCCCATCGTGGAAGCCTTTGCAGCCTATGAGGAGAAGATGCGCTCCTTCCAAGAAAGCCGCAGAGCATCTGCAGCAAAGAATGCTTCCCGTGGTTTCTTCCCCAAGGGCAAGTTCAAAGGAAAATCCATGTTTGGCAAGAAAGGTGGAAAAGGTAAAGGCTTTGGAACTCGCTTTGCATCTTCCTCAACCTCCTCATCATCCCCTTCGGTGATGGCAGTGCAAGGCGGTGGCAAGCCTGGTTCACCAGGCTATCAGGGTTGCTTCATTTGCGGAGCAAAAGACCATGACTATCGCTCCTGCCCCCGACGATCTCGTCCTGGTGGCAAGGGAGGAAAAGTGTTCATGGTGGCTGAAGAAGAAGAGCTCATGGAGACCTTCGTGTGCCATCCTCTTTCTCATCCTGAGCGGCCACTGGAGATCATGGCGGCCGATGAGATCAGCCACCCTGAGACTGAAGGCTTTGGAGTCCTGGACACCGGGGCCACTGAGACTGTCGCTGGTCTGGCGGCATTGGAATGGATCATGTACAAGAGGCATGCAGCTGGAATGGACCATGATGGTTTCCAGGTGCTCAATGTCCCGAACAAGCTGTTCAAATTTGGAAATGGCATGACTCAAAAGTCTGAGAGCATGATCTTGCTGCCCCAGCGCCTTGGAGATAAGAAGCTGTCTCTCGGCATTTTTACTTTGGAGGCACAAGGTGTCCCCGTGCTTGTCGGGATCAGAACTCTGGCAAAGCTTGGTGCTTTGATCGACACTGGCCGAAGTGCAATGGTTCTCACGGCCATCAATGCATCGCTTTTGGTGCCTTTGCGAAAGAGCTCATCCGGCCATCTACTGATGGACCTAAGTCATGATTGGCTCAGCGAGGGCACCCAGATTCTTTTTGCAAGTGACACTGCAGCACCTTCACCCTCTGTGAAATACTCGCCCTCGCCGCTGTCGATGTTGTCGTGTTTCATGGTTCGAGAAGATCATGTTTTTGAAGATTGTGATGTACATGCCACTTCAACCACATCCATGCCCATGTCCACGACTTCTGATGTTTCCATCTTTTTGAGTGAGTCTGAGTTGCGCTTTTACCAGAGTTTGCACGGCCATGAAGCTGAAGATTTTTTTGAGTCAGTGTTTTGCAGTTCGTTTTCATCCACCTCCTCCTGATTTGGCAAGAGCAACTGAAGATGCGAATCTCGCCAACTTTGAGGCTCAAGATTCGACCTCGATGTCCTGGAGGGCATTGACGCTGTTAGCCGCCACTGCTGCTGTCTTTGGAAGCCATGTCCCAAGCAGCTCCGGCCAAGGCCAAGAGCTCGGCTCAGAGCTCCACGCCAAAGGAGAAGAAGGGTCCGAAAACCAAGGAAGCCTTCACCGAGAAGTACGACACTTCTCGCACGGTCCTGAGCGACCCCAGGGACCCTCGCACCCTTGGCCCGCCGTGCAACGGCCAACACGAGCCGGCACCAGCCTACAAAGGCCCGGTGACAGGGAGCAATGGACATGCCAGCTGGGTCGGATGCCAACGGTGTCAACTACGCTTGAGCTACACCCCGGCGTTCGGGGCAACAGGATTGCACCGACAAGCAGGGCCGATTCCTCAAGACACCAAGAAGCAAGTCGAGGAATTGGGAGAGAAAGCACCATACAACCCGCTGATGAAGAGTCAAGCCATAGGCTTGGAAGGTGCAGAACGCTCCCTCCTGACCAAGCTCGACAGCGTCCGAGCCCGCAAAGCCGCAGCAGGGTATGGCAACCTCACGCCGACCACCAATGCCACATCGAGTCCTCAGAGTCCCGCCAACCAGACTCAGCCGAGTCCGACCGAGGTGGCAAGTCCGACCGACGTGGAGACCCTTGGCACGGTTCCTGGGAGCAAATCCCGGCGATCAGAAACAGCACCCGAGGAAGCAGAGTACGAGGATCGCTCAAACCGCTCCTGGTCGGTCATGAGTCCGGGCGGAGAAGCTCGCTCGGTGTAGACGGTGGAGAAGGTGCAGAAGAGCCCTACATGTCTGAGAACTCCGAGGGTGACTTGGCTCTTCGTGGTGGCACCTTCATGAATTCGAATGACCAGGTTCCCAAGAATGAACGGATGTTCAAGAATGCCCAAGCTCCACCGAATGTCAAGGTCCCTCCGAACTTGTTCAAGTCTGACTATGCCTCCGGCACTAAGGAACAGGAAGCATTTGAAGATTCACTTCCTGAGGGACGACATGATGGAGAACCTGGCGGAGAAGATCGCACTATGACTCCCTTCCCGAAGAAGGAGTTTGCGATGGTGGTGGAGAGTATGAATGAGCTGGTTGAAGAAAGTGATATGATCTTCAAAGCTCATGGAGGCATCTCATCCTTGCAGCAATGGGACGTGATGGAACTTTGCTGCGGTCCTCAAAGCCAACTTACAGAAGAAGTTTTGAAAGCTGGAGGACGAGGAGGTCGCATCGGACTCCACAACAACTGTGACCTCACCAAAGAAGAAGGCGTCGAAAAGGCCCTCGAACTTCTCAAGGCTCATCGTCCTCGTTGGATTTGGGCCAGCTTTCCTTGTGGTCCCACGTCAGCAGTTCAAGCCTTGAATGAAAGGACGCCTGAAGGAAGAGAGAAAAGTGTCTTTAGGAAAAGACATGCGAGAAAGGTGCTTCGAGGTGGACTTCGAGTACTACATGAACACCTACGAATGGATGGTGAAATCGTGTGGGAATGGCCCAGGTTCAACAAAGCCTGGAAACTGCCAGAAGTGCAAGAGTTTTGGCATGCACTTCAGACGGCTGGCAAGGCCTATGAGATCCTGGCTGATGGCTGCATGTTTGGTCTCTCCTCACCAGACGGGCCAGTGAAGAAACCCTGGCGCTTCATGGTGACTCGAGAACACGCCCTAAAAGGTCTTGCTCGGCAGTGTGATGGAAGTCACCACCATGTGCCATGCCTTGGCGCCAATGCCAGAAACTCTGCCTACTACACCCCACAGCTGTGTCGGGTAGCCGCCCGAGGAATGCTGCAGACCTCCGAGCTCATCGGAGGCATCCAAGAAGTTGAACCTGACCCTTCTGTTTTGGAAAAGCTCACACCTCAAGAACTTCAGCATCTCATGGAATCGGTGTTGAAACTTCATCGACTGTGCGGCCACCCCAACAACAGAGCTTTGTTGAAGCTTCTCCGAGCTCGAGGAGCCTCTGAAGAGTTGAAAGCGGCTGCACTTCAACTTGCCTGCCCGGAATGCCATGAAAGCAAAACTGCCTCTCCGACCGTCAAGGTATCATTGGAGAGGGAAGATGTGATTTGGAAGACGCTGCAGATGGATGCATTTTTCTTTCGGCATCGAGGGCAAGTTCATCATTTTCTTTTGATGTTGGATGAAGCTAGTTCTTTTGCAGTGGTGAAAGAAGTGAAGGTTCATCCTGCTGAAGAGTCCGAGAACATCACCACCGCAGAGGTAATCACCACCCTGGAAGAAAGCTGGAGCCAGATCTTTGGCTATCCCTCTCGCTTGAGGTGCGATGCTGAAGGTGCCTTTCGTGGCACTGATTTGGCCATGTGGTGCAGCGAGAGGGGCATAGACATGATCCACGTTCCTGCTGAACATCATCAAGCCACAGGAGCTGTTGAGAAGGCCATCGGTGAGTTGAGATGGAAGATGGAAAAGTTCTTGCGCAATGAACCCATCGAGCCCAAGAGAGCTGCCTTCGCGATGACTCAAGCCCACAACCATGTGACTCGAGTTGGTGGATATGCGCCGGCACAATGGGCCTTCGGCAGATCCGAAAATGTGACCATCAACGTCGCGGCAGCCAGCTCAGAAGGCATCCCTGGTCATGAGATGGCCGAGAACTTGAGACTTCGCATTGAGGCTGAACATCTCCACAACAAGTTGTCTGCTGAAGCTCGGATCTCCCGAGCCAGGAACAGCCGGAGCAAACCGGCAAAGCAGTTCATCCCTGGAGACATCGTGTTCTACCAGAGGTACAAGGTCCCTCGACGAGCTCCGGCCAACGAAGATGTGGATGTGCCTCGAATGCGCATTGCTCGATGGTATGGACCTGCTCGAGTTCTAGCCTGTGAAACCCGGGTTGATGACACCGGAACAGCACGCACTCCTTCGAGCGTGGTGTGGCTAGTGAGCTGCGGCCGACTTCTCAAGGCCCACTGTGATCAAGTTCGACATGGCAGTGAACGAGAGCTTCTGATAGCAAACGCCTCAGGAACAATGGCCATGCCTTGGACCTTCTCCATGATGAGCAACTCTCTCACCAAGGGCGCTTTTGAAGATCTCACCTCCTCCAAGGCCGAAAGATTCGAAGCCAAGAGAAGACAAACCTTTCGCCCACCGGTACCAGAGAGAAAACGCCAGAAGCAACAAGAAGAAGATGAAGTACAAGATGATGCAATGAGCTCATCCTCTGAAGAGCTTCTTCCCGATGAGGTGCATATGGATCCCACTTTGAAAGAAGGAATGCACCCTGATGACTCTGATGACCTAGACATCGAACGGCTGCTTTCTGATCCGACCTACATGCCTCTACATCCCGTTGTCCCACCAGATGTGAAAGAGGCAAGAGGATCTGATGATGTCGAGTTCCGGCAGCAGCGAAAACGCCATGAGCAAGATGATCGTCCTCACCATGCCAAATTCCCCAAGAAGTACAAGAATCCAGACTTGGTGGGATGGTGCTCACAGCCTGCCAATGACTTTGTCCTGGCCGTGACGATCGATGCCCCAGCCAATGAAGAAGAATGGCGAAGCATCTTGAAAGATCCCAAGAAATACACCTCCAAAGAAGTGAAGAAGGGATGTGAAGTTGCCTGGCATAAACTGAATTCAGTTCAAAGGCAAGCCATGAAAGAGGCAAAGGACTTGGAGGTGAATTCCTGGGTGGCCAATCGCGTGTGTGAACGCGCTGGAGCTGACGTACCGAAGTCAAGGCTCATGAAGATGAGATGGGTCTTGGTTTTCAAGGCTGTGGACGACCCGAACCAGCCCAACAAAGTCAAGGCGAAAGCCCGAATCGTCATTTTGGGTTTTTCTGACCCTGACCAAGAGTACCTTGACAAAGCGGCACCAACACTGTCACGACGTGGCAAGATGCTTCTGCTCAACTTGGCATGCCATCGCCGATGGCGGACCCTCAAGGCTGACGCTCGTGCGGCTTTTCTCCAGGGCTCTGAAAGCCAACGATCTCGGAGCGTGTTCGCACAACCAGTGCAAGAGCTGGGCGAGAAGATGCAATGTGGTCCTCAAGAAGCAGTTCGCCTACTCCGGGCAGCTTATGGGCTAGTCAATGCCCCTAGAGAGTGGTACCGTGATGTGGAGAAGATTGCAACCCAGACATGTGGCATGCAGCGCCTCACCTGTGAACCCTGCATTTGGGTATGCAAGGACAAAGATGGCAATGTCCAAGGTGCCATAGCAAGTCACGTTGACGATTTTATCGTGACTGGCAATGAAAACAGCGAGCTGTGGTATGACACCTTGACCAAGTTCCATGGCGCACTGAGCTGGAGTCCTTGGGAGTCAGATCCCTACCTGCACTGCGGCATTGAAGTGCACCAGCAGGCTAACTACAGCTTCAGCTTTGACCACTCCCAGTATGCAGCTCAGATCAAGCAGATCGATGTGGACAAGCACTCCTCCGAGGTGACGCCTCAAGAGCTTTCTCAAGCTCGAGCCGTGCTGGGCTCAATACAGTGGAGAGTGAGTCAGACGGCGCCACAACATGCCTCACGACTGTCCCTCCTTCAGTCACAGCTTCCTTGCAGCAAACACTCCAAGGAGATCCTCCACCAGATCAACAAACTGGTCAGAGAGGTGTGTGCCCAAAAGCACCTGTCTGTGAGAGTTCAACAGCTGGAGGCTGTGAAAGATGAAGATTTGGTGATGATCGCCTGGACTGATGCAGCAGTCGCAAACCGTCCAGACCTGGCCTCAACTGGAGGATATGTGGTGGGCTTATGCCACAAGCAGATCCTGGACGGCATCCGCTCTCCCGTCAACATGGTGGCGTGGAGAAGTGGAAAACTCCACAGGACAGCACGCAGCTCACTTGCGGCTGAACTCCAGGCCACGGGTGAAGGAGAACAAGAGTTGATGTTCTGCCGAGCACTATGGGCAGAACTACTTGGCCACTCCATGGACTTGACGCGACCTGAGCGCACCATTGCCAAGGTCGAAGCTGCCGTGGTCATTGATGCCAAAAGTGCCTACGACGCCTACCACCAGGGCGATGGCGCTAGCGCTGCTTTCTCGATGAAGGAGAAGTACAGCGCGCTTGAACTCCTCTCCATCCGGGAGAACATGACCAAGGCGAACGCCCGCCTGCTCTGGGTGTCGTCCGACGCCCAACTGGCTGACGGCCTGACTAAGGCCAGTGCTGCTGATTTGATGAAGACCTTCATGATGAAGGGCCAGCTTTGGAACGTGAAGTATGACCCGGGCTTCGTAGCGGCCAAGAAGAAGCGCCGCCTGAATCCTGAGAGTCAAGAGCCTGAGCCTGAACTCATCGAAGATGAGTCTTGGCACACCTTCCAGCGGCGGCAGGCCACTTCGGCGAAAACCTTTCGCCCATGTGATTCTGTTTGGTTTAGCCATTTGAATCATGACTCCACCTGCAATCATTCGCCGTCGTTGCATACCGCTGCCATTTGAAGGGTGCCCTTTTGCCACGCTTGTCTTTTCAAGCGACTAGCTACTGTCCGCCATAGACGCCACAGAGGAGTCCGACTTTCGAACTTCCTGGAGCACGTGAGGTGCTTGGAAAAAGGCAGAGCGCTAGCAGAGCATACTTTGTGATTGTCACCACCTTGGTTTACTTCCCCTTCGGCTGGCGACCGTTTCGCCTCTTGTTGAAGCTGCCAGTATCACACCGATACCGGGCCGCATGATTTTACATTTGTCTCCGGGCTTGCGTTCCTGCCACACTGTAATTGCTGTGGCCGCATGATTTTACACTTGTCTCCCATTTGTCTCCCACTTGTTCCCCACTGTCTCCTGTCTCCTGTGGGTGCTTTGGCCGCATGATTTTTTCACTTGTCTCCCATTTGTCTCCCGCTGTCTCCAGTTCTTTGTGGGTGCTTTGGCCGCATGATTTTACGATTGTCTCCCACTCGTCTCCAGCGCACTTGGCCGCATGATTTTTACACTTGTCTCCCACTCGCTCAGCCATTTTCCAAACTGAGCCAGAGTTTGAGTGTGATTACCATCCTCATTTCTATATTGATTCTATCATTCATCACCCACCTCTGAACTTCAGACCTTTTGTGGACATGAGAAAGTATGCTGCATGCCCCAAAACAAGCTGATGTTTCCTCTGCCTACTCTGGATACACTTGGCCGGATGTTTTTACACCTGTCTCCTCTCGTCTCCCTGCTTGCCTCCCTTCTTGTTGCACTTGTCTCCACTTGTCTCCCACTTGTCTTGGCCTACTCTGAATACACATGGCTGGCCGGATTGTCTCCGCTTGCCCTTTCGCCTGCTCCATGCTTAGACACTCTTGGCCAAATGACTTTACACTTGTCTTGCACTTGTCTCCCTTCTTGTTACACTTGTCTCCACTTGCCTCAGACTACTCTGGACACACTTGGCTGGAGTTGTCTCTTGCTACTATAGTCTCTAGCTTAGACACTCTTGGCCACAGGCTCTCAGCCGGATGCACTGGTCTCCACTTGTCTCTTTGCTTGTCTCCCTGCACCCTCGGCCGGATGAATTTACACTTGTCTTCCACGTGGTCTTTCTGATTTTGTCTCCCTTCTTGTTTACACTCGCCTCCACTTGTCCCCTGCTTGTCTGCCTTGTTGCTTCACTTGTCTTCCCTCCTTGTCTCCCTGCTTGTCTGACCTCACAAATTCATGGTGCAGTGGGTTGAAAGCTTTTAACAGCTTTTAACCAAACAAACCATGATAAAGCCACATGTCAGTACAACTCAGCATATTCAGTAGATTTGCGTATGTTCTGTGTTCGTCTGAATTACCGGTTCTGACCTTGAACCAATTGAGCCAAGTGCTGAAACAAACCCAGAAGGTCCGAGTCGATCACCGCGAGCTGGAACGGTTTTGACATTGTAAAACGCTTGTTTAGAAGGCGAGACTGCCCAACCTGCAGCACGTTGACAGGCCATTGGCCCAACCAGATGGCCTCGTGAATGTGCCTCCAGCCTAATCCTGTCTACTGAGAAACTAGAATCTAAGGAGATCATAGGGGGCTGTGTCAACCGCCCAAACTATACACAAGCGGCGTTTGAAAGGATAACACCCCTAAAGTGAAGTCGCAGCCGCTGCCTAGCAAAGCACATCCAGCATTCTCCGACCAATTCCAAGTGGAACGGTTATGGCCATCCAGGAAGTGGATTAGCTGGGACTCCCACAACCCTTTCAAACTGGCGGGGTCACCGTCTCAGGAGTGGCTGGCATTCGGGAGGGCTGCCCTGCCACGGCAAGGCGGCGTGATAGAGCGGCTGAGTGGCCGGAGCGCGTAAGGGGAGGACACGACTTCTAAGCGGATGCTCCCTGTTTAGAGGTTGAGCGACCCTAAGAGGGAAGGCCCAAAGGACCCGCCGGCACCAACTCTACTGGAGCTGTGAAGTAGGATGTTGGAACAGGTGAGTTTCTGGGGCTTCTAAGATGGAGTTCTGGCATAGGCCATAGACAACCGTTGTTGAGCCTCTAGAGGTCTCAAAAATGGTTCGAAGATGTTCCAAGTGATCCGGCCACTTGCTCCAAACTTGTTCCAACTCACGGGCTATCGGCTATGGGTCGAGCCCACCCACTCCACAGGCCATCTTCAAGAGTGGCTTCCCTGCCGTGTTCAGCACTGCCATGGGTGGGGGTGGCCTGCGACATGCAACTCGCCAACACCTCGTTCGGCCAGCGGCGTGGAGGAGACGGTGGAGACACAAGAGACCAGAGTGTGGTCTGTTTTCCTACGGTGCAAGGGATGTGCTTTTGGTGCTTTTAGCCCCTTCTTTTGGAGGGTTTTTCTTGGGATTTTCTCCTCAGGACAGTACATCCATCGGAAGGAGTCGGTCTTATTGGATGTTCTCCCGATTCGAGGACTGAACCGATTTATTCAAACTCCAGGAGTCTGGGTGGTGTGGCTCGTCCCATCCAGTGAGTGGATGCCCTCATCGGCACCGGTGGATGGATTGACTACCAGATGGAGTAGTTCATGATACCCAATGACTACCAGATGGAATAATCCATCTTGATTATGAGTACCTGGACGATCCTGTCTGGGTGTCCAATGGAGATCCCTACATGGTGCAGGGTAGTCCAGCCAGGACACTGAGACAGGATGGTCCTGGCAATGGACGAGGGGACCCCATGGTGGTCATGTCTCTCAAGAAGATGGCCCTGGTCCTGGTACCATGTCTCCTGGTCCATTGGAAGATTCATGTTCTCTCAATTGGCGCCCCTCCAAGGCCTCGGTGATCGCTTGGCCCCAGAGCTGCGGCGGCAGCGGCACCATCGTGCAGCTGGCGTATGGCTGCGACTCGTTCGCTCGAAAGGAGGGGTCAGGAGGGGTCCTGGTGGATGCCCAAAGGTCAACACATATCAAGACAATGATCATGCTGTTTCTTTTTTTTGTCGATTTTTCCTTGCCTTTGGAATCCTGGTGTTTGGAATACATAATAAGTGGGGGCGCGCACTGTGAAGAGGTTTGAAGAACTAAGACCGGGTGTGACCACAAAGCTTTTGGAGGTCAATTATTCCGCTGAAGTCTCAAGTTTCATTTTGTGCGGTATCACCCGCGAAAAAACGTTTCTATCTCCAGTCAGACAAACCTGACAAGCCGTATCTCTGGCTGCAGATCAATGCTCATCCACTTGGAGCCGGGCTCCGCGCCGGGCTCCGCGCTCGCCCCAGGCAGCATCGAGCATCAGATCCGTGGGGACTATAACCCGGCCTTGCGGTGAGCGGTGCGAGCGGCAAAGAGCCGTGGGTGCCGTGGTGCCCGCCACGATGACCCCAGCTGAAGAAGTTGGGTGGAACACAGAAGGACATCCCCACAGGTCTGGCCCCGATTCCAAGAAGGCCACCAGATTCTATTTGTGGCCTTCGGTTCTCTTTTCCCTGCTGGGGCTGAAACGGAACATGGCTTTCTTGACCCGCACATTGGCAATAAGAAAGGTGCATCCATGATTATGAACTTCACTTGTGCGTGTCCTTACTGGCTGGGGCGGTGGCGGCCGCATAGAAAGAGCCCCGTCCACCTCCGCAGACATACGATTTGCGGCCAAGAGAGCGGCGGATTCCGCGGTGGCACTTTGAACCGGCGCGGCTCCCTAGGTGCCTTTCTTTTGTGATCACCGCGACTAAGAATCCCAATCCCATTTTCTCACGCGTCTGTGACACTTGAGAAAAAGAAACTGCGCAAAATGCGGATCCACGCCAGGTTTTGGTTGGGGACCCTGAGGAGGGACTTGGTCCTGACCCGGTTTCAGCTTCAAGTCGATTCTCGATTCTCCCTACATTTGACCTGGATGCTCCCTACTTCATCTTTTGAGACCCAGCTCTTCATTCAGCTCAAAAAACGAGCATAGCGACAACGAGCGATGGGTTCTGGCATGTGGAAGGTGCCGGACGTCGGACCGTTCTGCAGGAGCGAGTGGTGGAGCGTGTGATCTCCCACATCGCCGGGGGATCTAGGGGAGGGCACCGGCCGTGAAGCTGATGGTGCAGAGTTTCGAGGGTTCCACGGCAAATGGATTGGTTCAAAAACCTTTATCTCAAACAAACAGTCTGGGAGGAGAAAGGAGATGAAGGTGCTCGGGAAGAGCATGTTAGTTTCCTAAGAAACATCTTTGGGCATCCAGAAGTTCCAGAAGCTATTGACCGATTGGTTTGGGGAAGGTGCGGAGGGTTATTCAACGGTTATTTGGTTGTGTTCTTGCGCGTAAGACGCAGCTGGCTTGGTGTTTGAATGTTGGGTTGGTTGGGTCGACAGGATATTTGCCACCTACTCACTCTCCAGGCAGAGCTTCGAGGCTGCCTACGCGCCTGCGTGAAGAGGGCTGAGGAACCCGTGGGGTGGCGGGCTGCCGCGGTGGGATGAGTGGAACAGGGTCCAACCGGGTCCTAGCTCAACCGATTGGGAGTGGGTTGGACGTTTTCCTTTCGAATGGCCTCAACACGGCGACCGCGGCGACCGATTCACGGGCTGGACACAGGACCCCAGCATCCAGCGGTTGCTGAACGTCTTAGCCGAGACGATTGATGAGAAGAGCTCCCTCAGCGACATGCGCCAGGCGAGTCAAGGTCCTAGACCTTTCTTTTTCCTGATCCTCAAGAGTGGAACCTGATCAGTCTACACTTAGGTGAACTTAATAAACCACTGAAACACGTCTATTAACCTGATCAGTCTGTTAAAAAACACCAGTCTGCATGAACTGCAAGCAGTGAAGCAGGTAAGCAGTGAGCTTCACTCCTTGGAAGGTCTTGGAGCACTTGGACCCCGAGCCGGCCATCAAGGCCAGAGAATCGAACCTCGATATATGGCCAACAACCATAATAAAACACGCAGTGTGTGTGTGTAACTGTTGATATATTTGTATGTTCACATCTCTTTATATCAATTTATCACTTTCATCATGTGAATTTCCCCACAAAGTAGGAAGTGCACGGTTTTTTGGGTCTCACGATTCAGAAACGAAGGCAAGATGCGACCCTTAAAAGGGGTGCCTTTCTTTTCCCTTGTGAGAGCTTGGGGTGGTCCGTTCACACTTTTTCATGGATACCCAAAAAGGACAACGACGCCTGTGTGGAATCTGGGTCGAAACGCTGCTGAATCCAAGATGCGCCGGTGATGTGCTCGGGGGGCAGGGGGAAGCTCCTTCTTCCAGGCCATCCCTCATTCACCTGGAACAATACCTCATAGTTCCAGGAATCCGCTGATTGGCTTTGACCGACTGTTTGGACTCGCTGCGGCGTTTTTCGCCAGGAAGTGCCCAGTGGAAAGCTCCAATGGTCCCCGCCTCAGGACACATCTCGAGGTCGTTCTTGCTTGGTTGGGTCTCCTGTTCATTTCATCTTTCGATCGGATCAGCACGGAAACGTGGCAAGGACACATGCAGACACATGGGAAATCCACCAAGATCTGCTATCGATGTTGGGTAGCTCACCGGTTGAGGTCGCCCCCCGAGCGCGGCCGCCTGGGGCCGCCGGTGTCGGGGAGACCGAGCAAAACGAAGGGTCGGAGACTGGGGGGGGCGTGACTGGGGTTCCCCAAGATCTGGGAACGGGACTCCAACATCGATGGTTTTTTTGTGATCCCGACGTGTTGTTGCTGCTGTTGTGGTGTTGTGGATTTATTTTGTTAAAGACATGTTCTCCAGCCATAATGCTATAAGTTTCGGCGGTTCTGGTGCATCAGGGTTCTCTATGCGCGAAGGAGGAACGCTGTACAACTTCTGGAAAACAGACACCTCCTGTACAACACAGGATCCGCTAAGAACCTCTTTGCCGAAGTGGTGACCGGTGTAGTCCACTCTTGAAAAACGGTCTGGTGCAGGAGTATGTATCGGCGGGGTGGTGAACCACCAAGGGTGTGGTGAAACCAACATTCAATTCATTCATACCACACCTTTGGTTTCACATACCACCATGTTTCACTGTTTCACCATGTTTCACCACATACCACACCTTTCGTTTCACCTTTGGTTTCATTATAAGATCATATAATATCGAATTATCTGTAAACACCGTAACTACCGCACCTTTATTACGCAGCCTCAGATCCGTCTCACCGTCAGGTGGTCTCAGATCCGCTTGCCCTACATGGGCGGCGCATGACGGACAAAAAACGACGCTCCTTCTTGGAGTTTGGACATTTGATTGAGCGTAAACTTGCGAGGAGGGCGGTAACTCCAGTCAACAACTACAACATAGCATAACAATACATAACCTATAGTTGGGATATGTTGGGATAAGAACAATTTGCAATGGCAAGTAAACACAGCTCGTCTTCTATGTTGGACGCAAACTTCCTCAAAGCAGTGGGATTTCCGTGGTCGTCCACATCGACGGCCCAAGAGGGCACCCATAGCAGCCGGACGCTGCGTTCTCGTGCAACGCGCAACGCGCTGCACCGCCCTTCTCGCTGTGCATCAATTCGTCACGGTTTGAACGGAGTCTCCGGAGCCTTCGGAGTGGTTTTTTCGACAGACTAGGCGGAGAGTGTGCAAGTCAGGTGATGTCGCCACTGGGAGAACAGTTTTTTTTACCGGAAACGGTTAGAAGGCGGTTTGGACCGTGTAAGATTGGGTTGTGAGAAAAACCACCTGCAGGGGCGCGAAACGGGCACACCCGAGGAGCTCCGGCGAATTCGGTGCGCGCCGGTGGGCGATGCCGGAAGACGGTGCGCGCCGGGAGCAATTCGTTTGGAGCGCTGTCCAGTCGCGCCGGAGCGGTCGCGATGCTGAAAAAGGGTGGGAAGACCGGGGAGAGGGCACATAGACTGGGGAGAGCACCCTTCACTGAAGGGTATTTGTTGGAACTTTTTGCATGTGAGATCCTACTTGAGTCCTCCAATAGAGCCTCAAAGCTTCATTTTGGAGACCTGTCGAGTCAGGTGCTGGATGGCACTGGTCGGGTTCTTTTATAATCGTCTGGTTCCTTGATTACGATCGGTTCACTTACCAACACACATGTAGTCTTGTACTACTGATCAGTTTTGTATGCATGGATTCCGTCTTGGTGTACATAGGGACTTGGGCAACTCGAAGCACAGATACGTATATAGCCTTTGCTTAAACCAAAAAGCAATGGTCTAAAGGGTATCCGAAGATCATCTTCTGCCAGAAGTCTTCGAGGAACACAGAAACATATCCAGAGATCCGATCAGAGCAAGAGTCCTCTGAACATCCTTTCACCACATGTAGTTTAGTATCATCACAGTATCATTGTAGCATAAACACAACACAAAATATATCAAGATACTGCATAAATATGCAGTTCATGTGACTTGGGGACGGCGCTAGTTCGGGCTCACAGCTTGCATGGAGGGTAGGCCCCTAGTCGCTTCGGCCGCCAGTGGATCGATCTCCTCTGCATTGTTGTGGCTTCTCAGTGAATCTTTGAGGGGGCCCAGTGATCCTATCGTTGCGCCACCATCTGTGGATCTCGATTTCTGCCATTATTGGAACATCCCTAAGGTAGACTTCTGGTGCGGACTTCTCATTGGATTCCTTTTGTGGCCTTTACTCGAGGTGCTTGTTCTGGTTAAGCAGTGGGTTACTTTATCGTTGCGCAATCGGATTTCAGGCATCTCGCTGTCCACAGGGAAGCTTTACAAGGTGATTTGATCAATAGGCGGCTAGTCATCCGGGCATGCCCTGTTGAAGTGGCAGCCTGACATGGAAGTAGGAGACGACGGCCCAGCTAGACCTGAAGCCCTTGTGGTTGAAGACCTTAAGACTGAGGCCCTCCACTCGCCTGAAGGCATTTCCTACTCCTTCAACATAGGGACCTACCAAGCCGGTGGCAGTTTCAACGAGATTGTTGCCATAGCGCTCATTGCTTGTGTTGAAGACAGGTTTTTGGTTTGTGTGCCCGGCGCAGCCTGGCACAAAAAGCCAGACAGACGGAAGCTGCCTGCTGGAACGTTGGAAAAGCCAGTTTCTCTTTTGGTCGCTGCCTGCAACTCAGAGCTGCGCACTGAGGTTGATCCACAGTTGCTTACAAACGTTTGGATAGGCTGGTTGAGGAAAGAGCTGCGCGTAGAGCTGAACTTTTCTCTGGCCGAACAGGCTACCATTGAGTTTGTCAGCAAGGATACCGAGGAGCCATGCTTACCCTTTGCAGAAGCGTTGATCTCTGCAGCGGAGGAAAAATTCCAGATTTCTTCTCCCAGTCCGGAGGTCGTCCAACAGCAGCGCCTGGATCGCCTCGAGGAAAAATTCGAGGAAGTTCAGTCAGGCATTGCAAAGCTACTCAGCCTGCAAGAAGGCAAAGACGGTGCTGGATTTGCCACGGCTGCCGAAGAGCACCTCCGAGATACACCAAAGCCGTCACCGAAGCCAAAGCAGAAAGCCCGCTCGGTCAACCCCCCTCCCGGGCTTGCAAAACTGCACACTTATCCGGGGCTGGACCCAACAATTGTGGCAGCGGCGCGTCAAGCTGGCGTTCCTTCTACACACTTGGAAGCAATGGCGGGAGCTTTGAAAGTAGGACCTGGCAAGCTGGACGATTTTAGCAGCTGCCCCTCCACTTTTTCTGACCGAGGACGAAGAAGAAGAAGAGGTTGCAGACCCCGAGCCCAATACGGGCGACCCTGTGACGGATGCGCTGGTGACTTTGACTCAGATTGTCAAGAACATGAACAAGAAACCCGATTCCAAAGCATCTCTCGAGGATGCTCTGGACCAAGTCGGCTCCAACGCCGCGTCTGGATCGGGAGATGTCTCAACATCGATGGGCAGAAAGCATGCGGCAGCCCGTCGTGCTTTGCACAAGGCCTTCATGGAAGATCCGGCTCAGATCTGGCGCAGCATCGAAAGCAACATGTCTCAGGATTTCAACTTGCAGACCGCGATGCCAAACGCGACTTCTGCTTTTTCTGCCAGGGGCTGGTGCGAGCACAGGTCAAAGATCCAGCCCTACATCCGAACTTGTCGTTGGGTGTGGGGCATTGCTGGAATCCTAGACGACTTGCGTTTGAACCTGGTGGACAGGGCAAGAGCACGCGCGGGGCTGCTCCTGGCAGCTGCCGAGCAGGAAAGCTTGGACCATGGAAGTTTTCTTCTCAGTCAAGAATTTCTGATGGAGCCAGCAGTTCCGGTGAGCAGTTTTCAGAATCACCATCTTCCCGAGCCAGTGGAAATGGCAACGACCAGGCTGTTGGATCCTCGTTGGATCGAAGCTTTTGCGGATCGGCTCAAGCAGCTCGATGCCTATGTCGAGATGCGCAAGAAGTTGAACATCGAGTCTCGCGGAAGCCTAGCTACCAACCAAGATCTAGGTGGCAAGGGAAAATGGGCCAAAGGAAAGTGGAAGAAAGGAGCAGTTGCGGAGGCAGATGCCTCGGAAACCTAGCTGGCCACGTTTGCTCCCCAAGTCTTCGCTGGGGGCTCCAACCAGGGACCGTTTGCCGAGCTCTTCTTCCCCAGCGCGGGGGGTTTGCAGCCCTACTGCGGTACACGGTCGGCGGTCCCTGGGGGAAAGCTCTCTCAGCAAGGCGTTGGGCGATGATGATGGGTCTCAAGGATCTTTTGAGGCCGGGCCGTTGATGATTGGCCCTGAGGCTCCTTTTCAAGTTGAAGCTGGGGAGGCCTTTGAAGCTTGTCCTCCCAGAGTGCATGACTGTTTGGCTCTCAAAACCGCTCCAGGTGCCAACGCCAGCAGTATTAGAATTCAATCCATCTGGCACTCCATCACTCGCCAGATTTTTTGCTCGAAGACTCCGTTTGGGAGCTTCTACCAAGCCATGTTTACGAAGCCGAGAGGAGGTTTGAAGCAATCTCCTACGGCGCCACTTTGGCCCATGCCATTGCCTTACCATTTTGGCAGGCAGAGTCTTGACTGTGACGGCGATGAACTGGCCTTTCGTAAGGCCATCAACCTTCAGGTTGGTTACCTGAACTTCTTGCATTTAAACCGGTGCGTGACACCGCCCTGGTGGATTTGTGGACCACGGCCTTTGACTTCTGGCCAGCAAGATGTTATCAGTCGCCTCCGCAGACTCAGTGGTGCTTGGAAAAAAATGGGCGTCATCAAGGCAGACGCCATGGGCCGTGTGGCGGCCAAACAAGAGCGCCAAGAAGAGGTGCTCAGGGAACTGTTGGTTTTTGCCGAATCTAATGTGGCTGACGTCAAGAAATACCAGAAAAGTCGCTGTAGGATCCAAAATGGAAAACCTGTCAATGAGCGCGTAAAGGTTGTCGGCAAGCTGTCAAAGGGTGACATGACTGGTGCTCAAGTTATTGTCGCCGATAGGATCAAGATGGAAGGGCGTCCTGTTTTTGACCCACTTCCGTTTTTGGATGAGAAATCAAAAAGGCTATATGAAGATCCTCTTTCTTGCGGTATTGCTCCTAGCATCCCTGATTTGTGTCCCCCTCGTGTTCGAGTACACGCCGACCTCGATGAGAAGGTCAAATTGTTGCGTTTGCTGGAATCAACTGGTAGGCTTGGTTTTCGATCTAAAGCTGACATTGTCGAGGGTTTTGGCAACGGCTTGTTTTGCGTGCCCAAAAGCACCAAAGTTGACAGACTCATTTTGGATGGGAGGCCTGCGAATTTGCTTCAGTCACCCCCCAACCAATTCATCATGACCATGGCCTCTCCTAACGCTATCCTGGGCATGCATTTGCTTCCGGGAGAGAAGCTGCTGATGACTGGAGATGATTTATCGAATTTTTTCTACACGTTTCGTGTTAATGAGCGCAGGATCAGTCGAAACTTTTTGGACTGGAAAATTCCCATTTATGTGGCTAAGGGTTTTTCTTCTTTTCCCGAAGCTCTCCAAGAAGAACCCTATGTTTACGCTTGTCTTGCTTCATTGGCTATGGGTGATTCAGCTGCGTGCGAGTACGCTCAAACTTCACATTTGGCTATGGCATTACAATGCGGGGCCCTTCAATCCCATGAGCTGTTGACTATTCATGGTAAGACCCCTCGTTGCAACACTGTTGGTGGCATTATCATTGATGACTTTTGTTTGCTGGAGAAGGTTCCCATTGACTCTTCGGACAGCCCTGATTCCAACGACCGACGAAGTCGTATGCACGACATGTACACCAAAGTTGGCTTGCAAGCACATCCCGACAAGGGTTTCAGCCAGCAGGAAGTTGCAAGCTTCTGGGGTGCTGACGTGGATGGTCTCGAAGGTCTAGTCCGCGGTACCTTGATTCGCGCAGCATCTTTGGTTTGGGTCACGGCAGAGGTTGCCAAATTGGGAGTTTGTAGTATTTCGTTGTTAGAAGTGCTTGCAGGCGGATTTGTCTCTCTTTTCGGCTTTCGACGTCGAATGCTTTGCTTGTTAGACTACGTGTATAGCTTGCAGGGGGGCCGTAATCAGAGGGATATTATTAGCTTGCCAAAGCCTGCAATTGACGAGCTCTGGTCTTTGGTTATCCTGTGTCCTCTTGCAGTCACTGATCTTCGTGCTAATTTTTCTGACCGAATCTTCATGGTTGATGCTTCAAATTGGGGCGACGCAGTTGTCTCTGCTGAGTTGTCTGCAGGTTTGCAATCTGAAATGCACAGACACAGCCTATCAAGGTCTTGTTGGACAAAAATGCTCACTCCTTTCAAGGCAATGTTGCGAGGGAAAGGCACCCTCAGTCCTAACGATGAGCTTCCTGGTGATGAGGAACCTTTCACTGAACATCCTGTTTGGGAAGTAGCTGCCAGGGGTCTTAACTACAAACTGGATTGGAAACAGCGGGCAAAAAATGGTAGACATATCAACCTTGGCGAGTTGCGCTCCTACTTGAAGGCCGAGTCTTTGTCTAGTGCTTCTTGCGGGGGTGATGTGCGCGTTGCTATTGGTAGTGATTCGCAGGTTTGTCTTGGAGCAGTCTGCAAGGGAAGGTCCGCGTCGTCTTCCTTAAATGCTTGCCTTCGTCACAGTCTGCCTGAGGTTTTGGGTTGCGGTATCTATTCTGCTGGAGGCTATGTTCGCTCTGCCCACAACCCTGCTGATGACCCTACTAGGGGTTGTAGGTTGCGCACGGCTGCTGTCGAGTGTCCGGAATGGTGGGCTGCTGCTGGTATGGGTGCTTACTCGCAGCTCGACAACTTCTTGCTAAGCTGCAAGCTTTCTCCTCATCAAGTAGCTGGGTACCCACCTCTGAACGAAATTTCAATGTTTCATGGTGACATCTTCGACTCAGATTGCAAGTCTTCGTTGAATCGCATGCACAGATCCGTGCGTTTAGGCTTGCGGCTCAGGGCTAAACAGAGAGTTGCAGACGACAGCAAAAATGGTCTGGATCATGAAAAGCCGCCTGAGTCCCCCTCTTTTTTCAGACCTGAAGTGCTGGAAATCTTTGAATATTTCGGTAAAGACCAATTTATCTTAAGCAATGGTTGTCCTTGGCCTCCTAGTTCTAAAGGTTTTTTGGATATTTACAGTGGAAAGAAAGGTTTCGCAAAGGCAGCCGTCCGCTACGGCGCGCCATGGGTGCTAACTATAGATATCTTGGATGGCCCACAGTGCGATGTTTTGGAACCAAGGGTTCGCCAGAAACTCAAATTCTTGATTGAGAGCGGATGTTTCCACCACGTGTCTTTTGCGCCAATTTGCTCTTCATTTTCTAGGGCAATGACTCCGGCTGTCCGGAATTTGGAATTTCCGCAAGGAGTTGCTGGCATTTCTCGAAAGATGTTTAACAAAATTCAGACTGGAAATGCTCATTCGAGATGGGTTGCAGCTACTGTCAGATTGTGCATCAAACATGCCATACATTTTTGGGTCGAGAATCCGGATTCTTCTTTCATTTGGTGGCAGCCTGAATGGCAAAGCCTGAGCCCTCTTAGGCACAGCAACTGTATGCGGATTGATTTCTGCACACACGGAACGCCTTGGCGGAAGAGAACTAGATTTTTTGTCGGTGGCAACAGTGTTTTCTCCGGGTTTAAAAGCTTCTGCAAAGGATCGCACAGACATGTCTTGCTTCGTGGGCGTGCAAAAGGTAAGAAGGCCTGCATGACCAAGCTTGCCGAGCCCTATCCTAAGAGTCTTTGTTCGCTTTTAGCCCATGGTGTTTGCAATCAGCTTGGACTTTTTAGAGGGCCCAGCTCACTGGTTTGTAGATGTACTCACCGTCGCATCGGCGAGGCCAAGAACCCTGGCCCTAGAAAAGTTGCTGCTAGGAAAGAAAAAGATCCTCTTGACCTGGATAATGTGGAGCTCATCCGCCCTCAGACCAACGCGATTGGCCGGGCAAACTGGGAGAAATTTCTTGTTTGGGCCAAGGGTTTGGTTGGAGCAAATGTGTTTCCTTCTCTTTGGTTACATCCTGGGCTTATGGCTGCCTTTTTGGCCAATTACGGTCGACATTGGTACAGCAGCGGCGGAGCCCTTTTCAACTACCGACACCTCTTAGTTTTTGCGCAAAGGAATTATCCAAATTTGAGATCCCAGCTGCAGCCGGCGTGGGAAGTGGTTACGAGATGGCAAGAACTAAACCCTGTGGAGCATCGGAGGCCCCTCCCAATTTCCTTGTTGCACGCAATGGTTGTGATTGCGCTGCATTGGAAATGGTTCAGGGTCGCTGGAGTGTTGATGATTTGTTTCTTTGGCTGCTGTCGGCCTGGAGAGGTCCTTGCTGCATCTAGGCACTCTTTACTTTTGCCATCTGACATTGGCGCAAGCGAAGGGACTTCTTGCTTTCTTCGTATTTTGAAGCCAAAGCCTGGGAGACGGGGCCTGGGTCGAGTTCAGCACGCTAAGATAGTTGACCGTGATGCTTGTATTTTCCTTTCGCGCATTTTTGGTGATTTGGATGCCACAGATTTGCTCTATCCAGGGTCAACCGGTGCGTTTCGCACTCGCTGGGATAAGCTTCTTCAGCATTTAGGGGTACCTGTTCGTTGCAAACTCACACCTGGATCCATGCGTGCAGGGGGAACAGTTCATCTGTATAGACTGGGCACGCCAATAGTTGACATCCTTTGGGCTTTGCGTTTGCGAAACCTTGAGACCCTACAGCATTACCTTCAAGAAATTTCTACTGAAATTACACTTATTGATTTGCCTGCGCAAACTAGGGGCCTGGTTACTTCTTTGAGCATTATGTTCCCCCATTTCATTTCCAATTTCAAGCTGTGAGACGGGTGAAGTGCACCGTGCGCGCTTACGTGAACCGTCGCTGGCCTGTTTCAAAAGTTGGAATCTGCACCGTCCTTCAGATCCGACCACTGATTTCGCTGGGCTT